AACTCTACTTTGAGAGGATCCAACCTTTTTTCTGAACACAGGCACACACATGGTACACACACACATACATACATACACACACACACATACATGTAGGTAAAACACCACTGCACATAAAAATGAATAAATCTAAAAGAAAAATTCTTAAGAATATTACTAAGACTGGGGAGGACATCAAGGAAAAAGGTGAAATGCCCTAGGCAGCACAACTGATCTGAGGTTCCAGGGCTGCTTCCAAGTCTTGTTTCTCCGCTTGGTTTTAGTTTTCTCACCTTCTGGGTGAGGAAGACGCTTCCTCCATCTCTGACTCTCTCTAATACCTGATACTCCAGGTCTTTCTTGGGTGACACAGAAGAGTAAAGAATGTCAAAGAATTCTCTGCACTTGGCTTCATGTTTCCAATCCATATCCCTCTGAGACCACAAGGCTACTTTGGGATGCTGCATGGTTCAGGGAAAACTTCCAGCCTCCGGAAAGCCAAGAACCCTAAACATTCTGACCAACCCCACAATAACATTTAGAACCTGTGAAGAGCATTCCCTTGAAATACTAACAAATTGCCAGCAGCCGGCACTTGGCATTTGTAAGCACTGATGTCTCCACACACCTCAGGATAACGCAGAATCAACCTGTTCCTCCTATCCAGAGGCACTCATAGGGACCGCTGCTCACGGAGAGGAAACACGGCTAGTCCAGGGGGAGCTGAGGTTTCCAAAAGGGCAGAGAAAGCTGATGTGACTGAGCAGGTGGGGACGGGGGTCCAGTCCTGTGCTTCACCATGTCACTACACAGAATCCTCATGCCAGGTTGGCAACTTCCCCTCCCCATTCTTCCAGTGTGGGAAAATGTCTGCAGCAGCTCGACTTATCTATGTGCACATGTTGGCTAACAACCTCCCAAATGACAAGTGCTGGGCTAAGAATTGAAGGGCCAATGGCAAGCGAAAATAAACACATCACTTGCTCTCATGGAGCTTATTAGTCGCATGGGAGGAAGAATTAGTTAAAGAATCCACAGCTCATTTGGTAGAAAGCCTGCCTCGCATGTGTGAGTGAAGCTGTGGGTTCACTCCCCGGCACCCCCAAAACTGGGAGCACTTAGGAGAAGGAAAGAGGACCACAAGTTCAAGGTCAGGTGGCCCTATCACATAAATAAACAAATAAAACAAAGGGAGGGTCACAGTACCACGAGGATAAAAGTACCAGGGCAACCATGGTGGTGATCCACTGGGTACCAGAGGGGAGAAGTGGGGGAACAGGGTAGAGCCACACATAAACCCAGGTCCATCTGATATCAAAGCCATGCTTTTGTGTCTCTTACCATTTACTCATTCACTGGGTGCTGTGGGATGTCTTTCTGTATGCTGTGAATATGTGCTGCTATGATTGGTTAATAAAGAATTAACTGGCCTATGGTGAGTCAGGTTATAGCCAGGCAGGAAATCCAAGAGGGAGACAGGAAGAAGAAAGGCAAAGGCAGAGGAGACGCCATCCTGCCATCCAGGGAGCAGCATGTATGGGCATGCAGGTAAAGTCACAGAACACGGACATACAGATTTATAGAAATGGACTGAGTTTAGTTGTAAGAACTAGCTAGCAAGAAGCCTGCCATAGGCCATACAATTGGTAATTGATATAAGCCTCTGAATGATGATTTCATAAGTGGCCATGGGACTGTGAGGCCTGGCGGGACCGGACAAAACTTAGAGCTACAGCGAGGCAATTAGCTACTGAACATCTACTGTGTGGCGGCCCCTGTGCCAGGGTAGAGCCACGAGTAAAATGAGTTCTTCTGGAATCTACAGCCCAGCCATTAAGCAAATAAGACATATGCAAGTACAGACTGGGAAAGAACCACAGTGGGTCCAGTTCAATAGGTAGAGTTACCCAGGAGGCCACAGGGGAGCCGCAATAGTCCAATAAAGCCCCTAGCCCACCACATGTAGGTAAAAGACTTCAGGGAGCATAGTGTGTCAAGGAGTAGCATAGGCCTGTCCAGGCGAGGAGCCCTTAGTGCAGAAGACAGCATATTTCTGTCTTGCCACAGACCCTGTTAAAACAAAAGCTCTTCTAAAAACAAGACCAAAGAGTGAATCAGCTTACATATCCCAACCTCAGGTGAGCATCACTAATGCAGACATTTTACAGCTAACGGGGACCATTCACAGCTTTGTTTGTATCGACCACACAATCACACTATGTGGCAGACAGGAAGGTTTACTACCCTGCTTGAGAGCTGAGCAACTAGGATGTGGGAAAGAGCTGAGACAAGGTCACCAAATGAGGCAAATACCCAACTCTGCCATCCAGCTTTGCATTACATCTCCAGTCAGGAAACCAAACATCTCTGTGAGATAGCTGCAGGTCACCGAGCCTGGGTAAAGTCACCCAGGAGTCCCATGAAGTTCCTGAGAACAATGGTGGGGTCATTAAGAAGCTCAGGAAAGGTTTCTAGAATGCAGCTTTACCAGCCTGAGACACAGGTACCCTTGCCAACTCTCCCAGATTAGACCAGGTCCTCCTGGCCTCTTTCCAAGTGCCTCTGACTAATACTGAAAAGTATTTTTCCACCACAAACCTGCAGGCAGGCAGCAGACTCTTGAGAGAGGAGGGCAGACAGTGCATCCCCACTCCTGGACAGACCATCTGGAAAGTTATTCTGGTGCCATCCAAATGCCCTGGCCACACACCTGCCAATGGGGACGCTGGTCCCAGGCAGTGTGTCTCCACCTTGACAATTCAAGTACCTGAACTGCATACCCTTCTTGTACCAAGTGAGGAGGCACCTTGGCATCTTGCAAGGTTAGACTATTCAGCTGCATCTTTGACCTCCACCCACTGGGTGTCAGTAACAACCCGCAGCTGTCACAGCCAATAATGTCTCCAGCCATTGCTAACATCCACTGCAGGACAAAAGTCACTTGTAGGGGGAAGGTTTAATCTTGAGACAATGGAGAAGAAGGGCAAAGTGCCCTGTCCTGTTCCGTGTCTCTGGAGACATATGGTCACGGTACACAAATGCTTTGGGGTCAGTATCACACAACAAATGCCCCCACATAAGCAGCTGTCTGTGGTTGTGGTCCTCCACTGGAGCTTCAGGAACAGACTCAAACAACTCCCTGTCGCACTGATGAGCCACTTGTGACCCACAAGGGAAACTTGTTCCCATTACTGTGAGCAGCTGAGTCTGATTAAACAGAAATTCTGGGTGCTTCTTCTCAATGACATCGGACCGGGGCAAGGGCTGTCATGGCTGCTACAAGGAGCAGAGTGGTGAATCAGGATCCTCCCATTCACCCCCAATTCAGTAGAACACCAAGATATCCAAACACCCCAGCTTTTAACCATTCTTGACCTGGGAGAAAAAGGAACAGAGCGAGGTACATACACAAGCAAGCTGAATTAGCAACTTAATTAAACAACTGAACTGTTACCAGAAAAATCATGCTCTCAAGTGGAGGTGGAAACATAGCTGAGCTTCCAGGCAGCTGGAGTGACTCAGCACCAGCAAGAACGCGGCTGCCAACCTCCTACCCCAGGGCTGGGCCCCCGGCCCAACATGAGGTCGGCTCCACTACAGCGCTTCAAAGAAGCACCACTTCTGTCTCTCACAGTCAGCCACTTAACCAGGGACAGGGATTGCTCTCAGACTCACTCCTGGATGGTAGCATGGGCTTTTTGCTGCACTGTGCCGGGGAAAGACTACCCGTGAGCTGCCCACCTGTTAACACCTAATCACTCAGCCGGCTGCCACTCATGGTCTTACGCTCTTGGCTCTGGGCCTGTCTGTCTGTCTGTCACACTGGAATGGTGCTGAATTCTGATATGGGTCTGCCTCTCCTAAGGGGCTCCTCAAGAGCACATAAACAAACATTTATGGGTGGATGAATGGATGATGGGCAAACAGGGATGGATGGAAGGATGGAAGGATGGATGGATGGATGGATGGATGGATGGATGGACAGACAGATGGACAAACAGATGAAGTTTTCTATCCCTATGTTCAAGCAACTGGAAGCTCATTGAGGAAAGGAACAACTTTCCTCGAAATGGACAACACACCTTCCTGAGAGCATCCCTTCACCTGGCAACATGGAGGTTACTGTGTGCCATCCTTAGCCAGGCCACCATTTCAAAATGACCGTAACATTTTGGAAAGATCAATTAAAAGCATCGCAGACATGAATGCTCACAAATCTGTGAGTACAAATGCACATGGCATGTGTGACTTACCAAAGAGAGTGAAGCTATGAGAAAACCTATGAGAGCTGGAAACTTCTGGAAAAGTAGTCAATAGGTACTTGGGAGCCTGAGATGGAGCCAGCAAGGCCAGAGAGCTCCTGAGAACCCCTGAGGTTCAGAAGGCCTTGACATGCTATCAAACTGTCCGAGAAACTGTAGATCAGCAGGGACTCCTAGAGAGCAGGAGTAAGAGGCCATGAAAAACCGAAATCCAAGAAGAAAGGTTTATGATGGCCAAGAAAGACCCGACCTAAGGGAGCGATGGGAACCAATGGAGACTCAAGGAAAGGTGGAGATACCCAGAGCTGCCAGGCATGTGGGGGCCCTGAGGAACAGGAGGGCTCCATCAGTCCACACAGAGCACCAGAGTCAAACTGGAGTTTAAATCAGAATGTCACACTGGCTACAACTCCAATACTTTCTGATGTTGCATTAACTCAGAACAGGTGAAAATAAAAACAGAGCCATCTCTTCAGCCATGGCCAGGCAAGGACTCACCAGTACCTGGACCAACCTCCGGGTCGTGTTGGACGCACTCTCAAAACCTCAAGGACCCTTAGGAGCAGAACGAGCTCAGCAATGCTGCCTTGACTTTCCAGGTGTAATCCGGAGAGGAAAGGGCACGTGGCTGACGGCGGGAGGCAGCAGGTCCTCCTCTTTTTAGTACGTAAAGCCCCCACCCCAGTCCTTAGGCCCAAGTACTAGTGAGTGTCTGGACAAGTGCTCTTCCCAACCTCAAACTGTCTGCTGCACCCTCACCTGTCTGAGCAACCAGGTGTGTCCAGCCACTCCAGACAGCAGAGACCTTTTCATCCTGAAAGCAGCGTGCCTCTATTCTCTGAGGCAGGAGGAGGAACGCAGACGGGGAGGCCAGTTGCCCGTGTTTGTTCCGGCCCCAGACATACAGCTCTCCTGTATCTGAAACAAAGGGGAATGGGCGGTAAGGAACATGACCCAGGAGGGTGGGGGACAACTCTGAAAAGAATGGCTAAAAAGGAATTGTTTCCTACTTACACCACAGGATTTAGTGGAGCCATGCACAATACGAAATTTATGTAGAACATAATCAGATATAAAACGTACTGAATTCTGTATATATGGAAGACCTAGTGTATGTAAGACCTCTCTCTCTTTCTCTCTCTCTCTCTCTCTCTCTCTCTCTCTCTCTCTCTCTCTGTGTGTGTGTGGGGGGGTGTGTGTACACGCACGGCATGCATACATTCATTCATGGGGGTGGTATACACACACATTGGAGGATGGGGGAGTTCCATGCACCCATGAGCAGAGAGCCTGAAAGAGACCATCAGGTGTCCTGCTCTATTGCTTTCTACCTTATTCCTTTGAGGCGTTCTCTCACTGAAGCTGGAATTGGCTGTTGGCCAGGAAGCCACAGCAACCCTAAGTCTCCGCTCCACATAAGGCTAGGTTTACAGCTATGGACATAACACAGCTTTTTATATGGATACTGAGATTCAAATTGAGATCCTCAGGCTTGCATAGCAAATGCTCTTACTCACTAAGCCATCTCATCAGCCCATTTTCTGTATTTTTTTCCCAATATAAGCCTATATTACCTTTTGTTAAGAAGGGAATGCTTAAACTTTTTTTTTTTTTTGTTTTTTGTTTTTTTTTTGTTTTTGTTTTTCGAGACAGGGTTTCTCTGTGTAGCTTTGCGCCTTTCCTGGATCTCGCGCCGTAGACCAGGCTGGCCTCGAACTCACAGAGATCCACCTGCCTCTGCCTCCCGAGTGCTGGGATTAAAGGCGTGCGCCACCACCGCCCGGCGGGAATGCTTAAACTTTTAAGATAACAGGTTAGAGGATACACTACTTGAGGACTGGGGATGTGGCTCAGTTGGCAGAGTGTCTGCCTACACAATCCCCAGCACTGCAAAAACTGGGTGCGGTGGTACACACTTACAATCCCAGAACTCTGAAAGTAGAGGCAGAAGGATTAGGAGTTTAAGGTCATCCTTGGCTACAACAGTTAGCTCGAGGCCAGCCTGGACTATAAGAGACACCGCTAAAAAAAATTATATGCTATTTAAGCTTCAACACTTTAGAAATGAAATTGTCTCACTGTCCCTGCTGTCCCCCAGAAGAGGCTGAGCTACCACTGCCCATCTGTGAGCACCTGAGCTCCTCTGGGCCTGCCTGTAATCCCGTGATGGAGGCAGAAGCCACTGGCATGGTGATGTAACAGGAGGAAGCCGATGCAAAGTCAAGTGACTCTGGCTGCTATTCCTGGATCTGCTAACTAGCTATTGACCTTGAACAAATCACTTCCTCTCCACGCCTTGCTTTCACCAGCTGACTATGGGGAGGGAGGGAGGGCTGCTGGCCTAAAAGGGAGGAAGGCACAGAACACCATCACCGCTGACCAGAACAACTGGTGGGTGGCCGCGGCGACCAAAGAGCACGTGCCTGCAATTCAGCCCGTGAGATCCGGTCGACACATGCACTACACAACGGTACCAGCCACCAGCACCTGAAGTGTGGCTGGCCCACACGAAAATACTCAACAGACTGCAGAGATATTACAAAAAAACCATACAGCATTAGCAATGTTCCTATTGTACTAAATAATATTTTGGACATTCTAAGTAAAATGTGTTAATAAGATTAATTTATTATTTGGAATATGGCTCACAGCACTGTCCCAAAAGATAAGTTAATCAATCAAGGCTGGGAAATGTTCAATGACTCTTTAAGATCACCTGGCTAACAAGGATTCAGTCAGTGAGAGGACGAGGATCCTATATCATTTGGTGAGTTCCCTACAAAGTTCACAGCACCACTTGCCCTACAGTGGTTTCATAGTCCCCCGAAACTGATCAAAGGCCAAACAGGATCATTACAGTCATAGCTCAGGAGTTTCCAAGTTCCATCTGACACTCACTTGATGTGGGACACAGGGCACAGCACGGCATGGCACCATGTCCTCACAGAGGTGAGGACATGTAAGTGATCCAGATGCCATCACATGTGGCCTTGAAACACTGACATCCTACAGGTCTACGGTGTGCATTTGGCCTTCATCAGAGTGCAGAGGTCGAAATCCCTTACAGGAGGACAGAGACAACAACCCTCACCCCACACAACATCAACCCAGTAGATGCTGGAGAGCCACAGAGGCGCCAGAGCGCACAGCCTGCGTGACTCAGAATATCTAAACCATCTTTTGGAAAGGCAGGCTGTCTTCCACATGGGGATAGTTACACTGTTGCATCAGCAGGTAAAATTAAATTCTGCTGCAATGCCAAACGGTTACATAACCTACAAGGACTCCAGAGAAGTGGTCTAAAGAACACTGAACAAAATCCAATGTGTTAACAGCCTGAGCAATATGAGAAAAGAGGGCTATTAATCTTGACAATTTTTAACTCACTTTTGAAATATCAAAACCCAATTCACTTTGTGACTACACTAAAAATGATTAAATGGACACTTTAAAATGGTGAATATCATATATAAATTATAGCCCCACAAAAAAATCCAGTCTGTGTACAAAAAGCACCACAGGAAAATTGGCCATGTAGGAAAAAATAAATTTAGTAATCACATATTTTTGTTCTTTTTAAAAACGTGACATTGGCAGCTAACTCAATAATTACTAAGTTTGTATAACATCAGCCATCTCAGGTCAATTAGGGCAGAAAATGAATGTCTCTTAGTCTATTCTTACTCCAAAAGGATGTTGCCGCCATCACTGGCTGTGGGCTGAACAAGACACCTGCAGCCCTGTGTCTGCAGAGGAGAGGGTCAGGCGCCTGGGAGTCACTCAGAACCAGCATACAACTCAACACTTTCACCAACCACCACGGTAAAGCCAAAGCGAGACTCAGGCTATAATTGATGGCCCTCGCGTCAACTGGTTAGTTGTTTAAGACTCACTGAACTAGATAGAGTTCATTGGCAGCTGCTCAGAATTTAAGTATTTAAACTTTCACACTGTCTCTGGTACTCTGTCAATGCCAACAGTTAGTTAGCTGTCCACTCGGTCAGACCATACTAGGCTGAGTTTACAGACATGTGCACACATGAATCTCCACACAAAACACTGAGCACACCAGTATGAGAGTCCCCACTTACTGCTTTAAAATGAAAGGCACTCGGCTCTGTGTGAGAGGTCTAACAAAAAATAAGTTCCTCAGAGGTACAGGCTGCAGTCTGCCCTGCCCTAGCAGGACAATCCAGGCCAAAGGAAAGGGAAGACCTTCCTGCACGAGAAAATGATGCATGGCTTCCTGAAGAAAGGCCACTGGAGTACTTATAATGCACTAGCTTGGCACTGATGGAGAGTCAGAAAACTACAGTATAAAAGCTGAGCAGTGTGGAGCACACCTGTAATCCTACAGCTTGGGGGATGAAAGCAAAAGAATCAGGAGTTCTAAGGCCAGCCATGAGAGAGTGTGTGTGTGTGTGTGTGTGTGTGTGTGTGTGTGTGTGTGTGTCCAGCTCAGGCTTCACTGCAGAGTGAGACTCTGGCTCAAAAGCAAAACAAAGAAAAGAGCAGTATGCTACATGGTCAAGTACTTGCTCCTTAACATTTTGATCAACAATGAGCCACATACACAACGGTACCCACATCACAAAGCCTAGGTGTGCAGTAGACTGTATCTCCTTGATGCTCAGGCAATGGCACACCCCCATCACTAAGCAATGCGCAGCTATATATAAATTTACTGTTGATTTCATGATCTGCCCCATCACAGTTCCCCCAAGAGGAAGATAATCATTTCCATCCTGTATAATTGAGAAAACTCAGAGGATGAGCAATGAGCCTAAGCTTGATGTGAGTGCTTTATATATACTATCAAATTAAGTTCTTACAGCTACTCATAAAGGATTTTGCAGATGGGGAGACGGTCTCAAAAGATAATTTGCCTTGTGGAGGGGCCCTAAAACAGGCTTAGGGACCCAGACACAGCTTCTGTGACAGGTTTAGTGGCAGGCAACACTTAGATCCAGGAAAAGCCATAGCTAACATCACCCAGGGATCCACCCAGGGATGGGGAAGTACCTGACATCCCAAACATTCCAACCTTTAGATAAGGTGGCCAGATGTCCCTGAGTCTAGTACACACCTGTTTTTGCTTTACAGATACCCCTAGACAATTGTCAGCTAATCAGGGTCCTGGACCCTGGAAATCCCCTCACCCCAACCTCTGCTATGATAAAAACCCTACCCTGCTTGGGCTCAGGGCTCTCTGCTCTCACCACTGCATGGGACAGACAGACCAAGCCCTGGGGCTTAAAAATAAAGGCTCTTTGCTTTTACATAAGGGATTCAGTCTCCGTGGTAGTCTTTTGGGGATCTTCAAGATCTGGGCATAACAGCCTAAAATGATATCAATAATGTTACTAAAACTGTCACTGCAAAATTTATACTTCCCCCCAACTCTGTCTCAGCTACACTCCAGACCACAGCATGCAGAAAGCTGAAGGACACATTCAGCTCTGAAGAGCTTGGACCTACCTGTTAACGAGGCCGAGTGGTCAGATCCTGCAACAACACATACCGCTGTAGAATTCTCTAGGCCTGCAAAGGAAATTTGTTTGTTTTGAGCTATATTTATGCTAGAACACATTGCATGAGAGTGGACTCTAGGGCCCAGCATTACCTGAGCATGGGGAGAAGGCCACCCAGTGCAGGCACGTGTGAGCAACAGGATGATTGGCATGATGGAGACAGTGAGGTAAGGGGGTTTGCACACGTCAATTATTGACCTCCAATTCCAGCACTTTACTTCCCTGAATTACACTACCTTCACCAACAAGGCAGAATCTCAATCTATCCTGTTAGGAGTTGGGACAGCCTGTGGTAATTTATGGTCTAACCTGCAGAAAAACACAGTCTTAGTCTGCAACTCTTTTCAAAAACTTCTGTTTTACTAACTAAAAGGCATCTCACATCTTCAAGTGTCCTTAGAATGAATAGAACAAAGCAGAAGTTCCCAGCCACATCCACCAGCAAGGGGTCCCTGGGTAGCAGGGTGAAGATGGGAGAATGCAAAATGATGGGCTATGAGGGCGGAAAACTAATGAGCCATTCAAACCCACCAGAAACCCCCTGACAACTCTGAGCTCTTGTTCCAGGCAGCTCCCACACTGGCTGTTTAAGTGTTTTGTTATGCCTTCTGGTTACTGGCCCAGGACTAAAATACAGAAGAACAACATTTCATTTCCCCCCTTGGCACAGGAGAAAACTGGTAACCATTCACACCTGATGCAAAATGGTGCTATCTACAAAAGGGAAGGCAAGAGGAGGCCAAATGGGGAGACTTCTCTGAGAGCGCCATGTCTGAGCCAGACCTCGAGGAAATCCCAGGGCTTTTCCAGAGAAAGAGGAAGGAAAGGTACTTCCGGCAGAGCAAAGAGTCTGTCTACAGATACAGTGGCCAGTCAGGCGCTATGACCATCTTGTTGAAGTGAGGAGAAGGTGTGGGAAGTGCGTCCTGTGAGAGACCACACACACACACACCCTTGTACACGTGCACAGGAGCGTGTGCGCGCGCGCGCGCGCACACACACACACACACACACACACACACACACACACACACACACACAGTGTCATTTTACAGCCTTTTTAAGGCAAACACGGCGGCACATTACAATCCCGATGTCAGGAGGTGGAGCAGGTGAGCTACCCAGTGGGCTCCAGGCTTGTGGAGGACCCCGTCTCCTAGAACACAGTGGACAGTGCCAGAGGAACAACAGCCAAGGCAGTCCTCTGGCCTTCCCATCCACATGCATACGTGTACATACATGTACATACGTAAACATATACACACATACATATGTAACACAAGTTGATAAACCATCTTATTAATAAAACAAAAAACAAAACCAGAGCCAGATATAGAGGTGAAAGCTGAAAGATCAGAGAAACAGAACAAGCCAGCCTCAAGAGAGTGAGTTCCTGTTTCCCCACACCTTATATACCTTTCACCGCCCAGACATCACTCCCTGGGATTAAAGGCGTGTGTGCTTCCCAGTACTGGGATTAAAGGCGTGTGCCACCACTGCCTGGCTCTCTTTCCAGTGCAGCCTTGAACTCACAGAAATACAGAGGAGTGACAGGATTAAGGGTGTGTGCCACCACTGCCTGGCCTCTATGTCTAATCTAGTGGCTGGCTCTATCCTCTGACCCCCAGCCAAGTTTATTAGGGTACACAATATATCACTACACACATACCTACACAAAACCAGAATGACCCCAATGCATGTGTGCTCTACAGTCTCTAGTCTGTTCCCACCCTTCCCAGCACCTTCCAGTGTCTTTTGTTTGGAGCCTGAGAAGAGTAGTTAGAGGTCTCCTATATAGGATTTTCCCATAGCCAACCCTCAGGGAACTGGACCCAAAAGTAAGAGTTACAGAGAAGAGAAGAGATAGACATGGTACCAGAAAGTCAGAAAGGCCTACAGAGAGAGTGGAGAACAGAGATGAGGAGCTGAAAAGGACCCGAGAGTGGCCGATGGAGAAAAAGAAAGGAGGGGGGCGTACCTATTGGCCAACTAGCCAGCAGCAGACCCATGGGCAGCATACAGATCACCTCCTGTGTTCCCATGTGTAGACACCCCAGGCCTGCTCCCTACATCCTCACTCGTTCCTGTCTCCCTTCCGGGAGAAGGAAATGGCACAGAGGCACAGCCCACAGTCTTCTCTCCGGAGTGTGACTCCTGCACTGAGAGGCCATTCCTGTCCCCTTGGCCATGCAGGAAACCCAGCACAGCTGATTCTGTGCAGTCACCCAGGTGCCTTGTGGGCAACTTGAGTCTAGGATTCAGAACTCGAGACTCACTATATCACGACGCCCTGTTTCCAAACTCCTACATCACCTCTTCCAGGTGGCTACGATCCATTCTATCACTTCCTCGTTGATCTCCACCCACCTGCCTGGCATCTATCGATCAACAGGTCGCAGACCCTGGTGGCAAAGATGGTGGCTTGTACTGGGGCTAGAAAAGTCACAAAAGACTGACAATCTAACCAACCGAGAAAGTTAGAAAGATCAAGAAAAACCGAAGGCTTAAGGCTAGAGAGATGGCTCAGCGGTTAAGAGTCCTGGCTGGACCTAGATTTGGTTCTCAGCACCCACAGGGCAGCTCACCACTGGTGTAACTCCAATTCCAGGGGATGCAACACTGTCTTCTGGCCTCCCTGGGCACCTGGCATGCAAGCGGTGCACAGACACACACACGGACAAAACATCCATACAAACTAAAGGGCTTAGAAAAAGAACGAGAGAGAGAGAGAGAGAGAGAGAGAGAGAGAGAGAGAGAGAGAGAGAGAGAGAAAATGAAACCCCCCTTCCCCATTTCCTGAAGATCTATGTTCTTCCTCACAAAGAGGAACCAAAGACTGTGAAGAAATAAGCAGCTCACCTGTCACTCTGCTCGGTTCCTTCGCTGTCAAAAACAATGGGAGAGTCTTCCCAGGACACAAGCGTCGTCCCGAAGATGCCAAGCCAGTCCCCCACTGGAAGACACTGCCGTTCACTTCCCAGCAGAGCCAGAAGGAAAAGAGAGAATGTACGTAAGAGTTAGACCAGATTGCTGCTCGACCGCACTGCTGTGGGGACTTCCCAACACAGCCTCAGCCGGTGTGAACACCACACAGGGGCTTCCGCAAGGGTCTGTGATTCGCCACGGGGATTATCAACCAGACAAACACAAATCCAGTCTTTGGACAGTCTAAGACCATGAGAGAAAATTCCAAAGTTGTAAAACTTCCTCTCAAAAGTCCCAGGCACTGCCTCACAGCTACAGCCCTGGAATGCTGCCTTGGTCATAGCTAACCTCAAAGGAAACCCTGAAGACCATTGAGTCCACACCCCACATTTACTAGATGAGGAAACTGAGGTCCAGAAGAGAGACTGTGATTTGGGGGTCACATGGGGAATCAATAGTAGAGAAAACACTGGGGTTCAGCTGACACTTGAGGTAGTGCCTTTCTACCCAACCAAGGTGAGTTCAGATCCTCTATTGTCAAATACATGTGTATCGGTGACTACAAGACAGTATGGCAGCCATTATTTCAGTAGAATGGCCACTTGAACCTATGTATCCACATCCCAAGCCCCAGAGACGTGCACAGATAAAACCCTATGCGTTTGGCAGACAGTCAGATGTGCACAGCCTGGATCCACCAGCTAACACAACATCAAGGTCTGCACCTCAGGACCATTATACAGTCATCACTCTCAGACGGTAACAAGACAAGCTTGCTTTATGAAGCAGCAGCTATGACCACTGAGAACAATGCAGTACAAGAGAGGCCTACAACCAGCAGATGAACTTCAAGGACAAAAAGTTCCCTGCACACAACAAGTGGCTGATATATTCGCCATGTCTCAAACAATGGATTATTCCCTTTGAAAATTTCCCCAGATATTTATTATTATTTTATGTGTATGAGTGTTTGGCCTTTGTGTATGACTCTGCACCACATGTGTGCCTGGTACCTACAGAGACCAGAAGAGGACTTCAGTTCCCCTAGAACTGGAGCTACAGACCACTGTGAGCCACCATGTGGGGTCCTCTACAAGGGAAGCCAGTGCTCTTAACCAGTGGGTGGTCTCTCCATCTCCTCTTTGAAATATTTTATTGTAAAATGTGTACAGTGTAAAATGTATCACCTTCGCCATTTTAAGTGTCTAACCCAGTGGCACCACACAGTCACCATGGTGACTGTGTGACAGTCACCATTACCCTTCCAGCTCCAAAACTGCTTCATCCTGAAACACTGCAGCAGACTGTACCCAGTCACCCCCCATCCTGGGCCCCCTGCCCTGGGGCTGCCATTCACTGTCTCTAGTTTGGAATAATCGTATGAATGGAATGCCAGCACTTGTCCTTTCTATGACTGGCTTATTCCATTCAGCAGCATGTTCATCTATGGAGGAGCCTATCAACAGTTCTGTACTTTCTAAGGCTCATACTATCCCATGGGTAGGGAAGAGTGGAGGGAGAAGTTACATGTGTGTGCACATGTGTGTGCCACATTTTGCTTGCTCATTCACCTGTCAACGGACACCTGAGGAGCTGTTTGTCTCAGCTGTTAGGAATAACGCCAGTTATATCTGGTGTCTTCCATTCTATAGACGGTTGATCTCTTTGCCTCTCCCTCCTTTTTCTCTCGTATGAAATTTGCCACGCTGGGTGTGGTGGCACACACCTTTAATCCCAGCACTCAGTAGGCAGAGGATCCTCGGCAGAGGAACACTCAGAGGATCTCTGTGAGTTCAAAGCCAGACAGGTCTACATAGTGAGCTTGAGGCCAGCCAGGGTTATGTCGTGAGACACATCTCTTTAAAAAAAAAAGGGGGGGGGGGTGGCTACAGTTAGTTATACAGCACTTCCATGTTGCTTTCCATAGCAACTGAACCATTCTATATTCTACTTAAAGAATTAAAGGGGGGGGCAGCCTCAAACTATGGTCCTCCCTTCCCACCTTGCTCAAGACTGGGTCTTTTGTTTGCTGGCTGCATACACAAGGCTCACTGGCCTGTGAGCTTCTGGGGATTCTGCCCACCTCACCCTACAGACACACACAACCATGTCTTGCTCTAGGGGGTGCTGGGGATCTGAACTTAGGTCCTCACACTAGTGCAGCAAACACCTGGCCCACTGAACCCTCTCTCTAGCCCCAACGCCCTGCCAATTTCTAAGAAGACAGCCTGTCTATAAATGAGTGGTCATTGCCACACGGCTCAGCAGTCACACTCCTGAACCCACGAAACCCAGAGAAATGAAATCTACATTCATATAAAACCTGTCCACAGATGTTTATAGGTTATTGCAAATAGGCCAAAACTGGAAACAGGCCAGACATTCCTCAATGGGTAACTAGTTAAACAAACTGGCTGTTACAGACTGTACTGTGCCCCACCCCACAACATCCAGGTGTGGAATCCCTAATTTCCATTGTGTCTTTGTTTGGGAACAGGGCATTACAGGTTAGGAAAGCTGAATGGTGCCTATGGGAAGTGGGGTTAGTTCAATAGGACCAGGCTCTGTACGGATGAGTCATGAGAGAGTTCTCTTTGCACAGATGCACAGAGGAAAAGCCTGTGAGGATACAGTGAGAAGGGGGCATCTACAAGCCAAGGAAACAGTGTCGCCAGAAACCAACCCTGATGCTGGGCTTTTAGCCTCTAGAACAGTGAGAAAATGAATGTTTGTGATTTAAGCCATTTGGGTTGGAGTACTTCGCTACAACAGCTCTAGCAAGCTAATCCAGTGTCACATCCATACAGTGCTATTCATCACAAAAAGGAATCAGCTATGGATACACACGGCTAAGACAGGGAGCCAGGGAATTAGGCTGCGAAGGAAAAGCCAACCCCTAAAGGTCATATACTGTATGAGAGCATCTTAGAGCATTTCAGAGGCGACATTACAGACACAGGAAACAAGAACGGTTGTCGAGGGCTAAGAAAGGGCTGGGAACAGCAGGAAGTGAGTGTGGCCATCAACACCAGCACGGCAGACCTCGTGGTGATAAAATTCCTCTGCATCCTGACTGTATCAGCAGCAACATCCCGGGTGAGCTGCTGCACTGTCAATTCTACAAGCTGCTACCACTGAGGGAAGCTGGAAAAAGAACTCGAAGGAATCTATTTTGCTTTTAGCAACTTCATGTGGGTCTCTAATTCTCTAAAACACAAGATCTCATGTCTTAAAAAGTTGTATGTGCATGAACATTTTGTCTGCATGTGTGTCTGTCCAACACAAGCATGCCTGGTGCCCCTGGAGGCCAGAAAAGAGGGTCAGCTCTCCTGGTACTGGAGTTACAGACTATTACGAGCTGTGTGTGGGTGTTGGGAATTAAACCTGCATCTTCTGGAAGAGCAGCTGGTGCTCTTACTTGCTGTGTCAATATCTCGCTTTAAGAGAAGGTGTAAGCAGCAGGAAGCCACAGGAGTTGACCAGCATAGAGCTTCACTACCTCTTCCTTGCCTCTCCTCTTCTGTCCTCACCCACCCACATCTGGACTCACACGACATGGAGCGCCAGCAGCCACAGGAGATGAACACTGGGCCACAGCCCAAGAGGAGCAAGTGCAGAAATCGAAAACACGGAAGGGTGAAGCTCCTCTACCAATCCCTGAGTTTCTAACTCCTCCCTCTCCCTAGTTTCTCTCCTCTGAGTACACCCTAGCTTCTCCCTCCCAAGCATCTGTTCCCTCACATGTATATTTATGTGTGCATGTGTGTGCAGGTGCATATAAGTCAGGGTTCAGCCTCGGTGGTGGTTCCTCAAATGTCTTCAGTTTTAACTGAGATAAGGTCATTCATTGGTCTGGAAGTTCATCAAGTAGCCCAGGCTGGCTCGCCAGTGAGCTCCAGGGATCAGCCTGTCTCCACTTCTCACCTCGCCATTGCTGGCATTACAGGTGCACATTGCCATGCCCAGCTTTTTACATGGGTTCTAGAGATTTGAACTCAGGTCCTCATCCTTTCAAGGCAATTGTAGTATCTACTGACCCATCTCCCACCTTACCCCTCTTTTTAAAAGGAACTACCTATGTATCAATTGTTTTCTACACTTTAGGACCTTCAAATCAAGGCCAGAGTCCTATCTACCTTAATGCCACCACCAGCCCCCCGATACATGCTTCCCACTTGTATACAGAAGGCAGCTCACTTAGAGTTTTTCAATCTACAAACATTAAAATCCAGCAGGAAGGCAACACAGTTCACTGCAATGTCTACACTGATGGTCTCTAGCTCTTCCTGCCTTACTCACAAGCACTTCCACAAGTTCTTGATGGGTAAAACTTTAACTCACACCACTCCTTGGCCGTGAGGACTAAATAAGAGAATCAAATTATGAAAAATCCAGCAGCATGTCTCCAACAAAGAGAGCCAGACAGCTCACTTCCTTCCTCCTCCTGCTAAGACTCTTGAGTGACTTCTACTTCATGGTCTCTCCTTTCAGTTGGAGCTACAGCACAGCGGGACCCTTGCCAACACTCCTTATGAAGTTTTCCTCTGGAAATAAAGGCTGAGTGGTCACCTGTAGTGGCTAATGCATGCCTCAGTCCAGCAGCGACACAAACAACCTTCTCTCTCAGGAGCTGTCCAAAGAAAGAACAAGATTTACTCTCAGAATCATCCATCTACAAAATCTCATGTAACTCATGTGCAAACTCAATGCAGCCTGAAGCATTCCCCCCATATGCTCACCCAGAAATACTTCTGTATTTATTGATAGATGAAAGTGTGTGTGTGTGTGTGTGTGTTGCATGTACATGAGTGTTTGTCTGTGTGTTGCATGCACATGAGTCTGTGTGTTGCATGCACATGAGTGTTTATGTGTGTGTTGCATGCACATGAGTCTGTGTGTTGCATGCACATGAGTCTGTGTGTGTGTTGTAAGCACATGAGTGTATGGGCACACAAGTAGGCCACAGGAAGACACTGGGTATCTTCTACTATCACACTCCACCTTACTGCCTTAAAGCAGGGTCTCTCACTGAACTGGAAGCTCCCTGCCTCAGCCAGGCTGGGTGGCCATCGAGCTCCCTCAGTGCTGGAGTTACAGGCATACATAGCCATCCCTGGCCTTTTTTTTTTTTAATATTTATTTTATTTTCTGTGTATGACTGCTCTTCCTGAATTATGTATGTGTACCACATGCATGCCTAGTGCCTATGATGGAGGATATCAGATCCCATGGAACCGGAGTTACAGATGGTTGTGAGCTACCACGTGGGTACTGTGAACTGAATCCAGGTCCTCAGCAAAAGCCACAAGAGCTCTTAACAGCTGAGACATCTCTCTAGCCCCTGCTTCGACTTTTTTTGCGTGAGTTCTGAAGATTCAAACCCAAGTCCTCGTGCTTGTATAAGAAGCACTCTTACCATTAAGCCATCTCCCCAGCTCTGGAAAATAACTTTTTAAAATATCATATCACAGTACCACACTGCACTACCTCTTAAGGGCAGCGGGGCGGGGACCTCCAAAGTCATCCAGTAAACATTTCCCCAAAACAGCCAAATACCATATGGTTCCTGCCACACAGCTCAGCCCTGTAACATCAAACAGCTACACAGGAGAAAGCATGGCTGTGCTCCAATAAGACTTAAATAGTAAGGGCGTTAGTCTTCCCTCCTGACCCAGTTCAATCCCCAGCCAGGTTGGAAGCTCTTCCTTAAATGGTCATTCAGCCCCCCCCCCCCCCCGCCCCCCCCCATCTGGTACCCGCCTCTGGGGACACGGGGCTCACCATCTCCCTAGGCACCTGATCCATCCTTGCACGTCTCCTTGTGTCTCTAGGTGGAGCCAAACCCAGCTGCCTTGAGCTTCTGACAAAGCTTTCCAAATATTTGAAGACAGTTGTCATGTCCTCTCTAAGACATCTTGTGGCGGTTTTAAAAATAGGTCCTCAAATTCTTCGATACTACTCCCTTCCTTCGAGTCACAGAGCTTGATTCCCCTCCCCTGTGTGGGCTGGACTTAGTGACACACTTCTAGCGGAAAGAAGAAAGGAGCAGAGTGAGTCAGAGGCAGGATGACAAAAGGCTCCGAGGCCGCCTCTTAAGAAAGCCATCCGCCAGGTCTCAACAGTTGTACAGAAAGCCCACACAGCAAGGAGCTGTGGCTCCCACCAGAAGCATCGTAAGAGCTGGGCAGTGGGTCTCTACCCCAGTGCAGCCCTGGAGGCTGTGGACAGACCTAGCTATGTCTTCACTGCTACTTTGTGAAAGACCAGCTCAAAGGGGTCCCATTCCAGACCCTCAAAAATGTGGGATAATGCTTATTTTAGCTACTGTCACCCACAGTAGAACTAATGGAGGACTCTTTAGACAAACATCCCAATTGCAACAGCTATCACTGAGTTTCTCTCCTCTGGATATGTTCTGGATTCCTCCCCCCGCTCTGGCCTCATATATCCCAGGATGGCCTCAAACTAGATATGTAGCCGAGGATAACCTTGAACTTCTGGTCCTCCTGCCTCTGCCTCCCAAGTGCTGGGAATAAATGCATGCACTGCCATGTCCAGTTTAGGCAGTGTGGGAACTAAACCCAGGACTCCCTGCATGCTGGGAAACTATCCCCTGAGCTATGTCCCTGGCCCTCAGTCACTCTCTTTTCAAGGCTGAGAATAAGTCTTAAGGATCACTATGTCTAGAGCCTATGCACCAATACACAAGAGAATCTGTCACACCAGATCAGTCTGACCAGCACAAAAGACAAGGTTCTGGCCTCCCTTCCGGAGACAATACAGCTGACATTGGTGTCCCCAATCACATTAGCCCCCAGCAAAATAAAATCTGACTGCTACTACAGTAGATGGTTCTTTAAATGCTCTTCTTCCCTGCCCTCCTTTCTTTTTAATAAAGATAACCAGTGGGCCAGGCCCACCTCTTTATGTTGTTATCTTACGTGCTATTCTACTACCCATGGGTCCTCACTCCACCCCGGTACTTCCACTTTTCCCCACATCCCAGCCTGAGCGCCTGTTGACGGCATCCCAAATGCTTGTCTTGTCTATGCTCCCATAAACACATCCACACTGTGCCTTGGCCTACAATGTTCTTCTTTGGCACCTGTTTGCATCCTGTTATCCCAAGCCAGGGAAACCTGGACTCAACTCTAAGACTCAGATAAACTTCCTGCTAGCTAGGAGTCCAGTCCTTCCTTGGGACTACATGAGCATTTATCACGATCCTAGCATGACAATGGCACTGCATGTTGTGGTGGTATTTTACTTATACTGAAATGTGATTTTAATTGTATGTTAATAAATAAAGTTGTCTGGGGGTCAGAGCTATTAGAGTCATAGCAAGTGCGTGGCGGCGGTGGCGCATGCCTTTAAGGACCTGGAGGGCGGTACATTCAGGCAGTGACGAGGCAGTCCCATGTTTGGGTTTACAACCAATGAGAAGGCAGAACAGGAAGACTTTAAAGACAGACACACAGGAAGTAGGTCCTTTTCGGAGAGCTCTCTTGGATGGAGAGGATCCCTGAATCAGGAAGGGTGAGGCTCTTAGCTCTGACCTCTTGGCTTTCTTCTCTGAATTGGCTCTGTGTTTCTTATTTTATAAGACCGTTGGTTACATCTACAGCATGTATTTACCATGTGCCATTAAATTACAAATCTCTCAGGCGCCAGGACAGGTCTTAACCACCAATGTCCTCACTACCTAAATTCAGTGCCCAAACATGGCAGCTGCCATCCACAGACGAAGAATCTCCATCAGTTCTCATTCTGGTATATCCCTCCCATTGCCACATGGGAGACAGCCCATCAAAATGTTCTTAGTTACTAACTCTGTCATCCAGCATATTTTAACCATTGTCCCTTCCTGTCCTCTTTAATTATATCAACTATAATTAGGCTAAATTAATTAATTATAACATGTGTAGGTTCTTACAAGGCCACCTATTTGCACCTGGGAGTTACAGGGGGGACCCAGAGCTCTGTAGAACTAGACCTGTGTGCAGGCCTTGGGAACCATTACCCCCAAATAACAGAGCACCCTGTGGTGCAACTGAATTCCACAAGAAGACAGCAGCAGACCCGACCTCTCCAATGAAAACGCATCTGCCACTCCTAACCGGAGTTTAGGGATTAGGTGGCAGAGGGGAAATTGAGGCAGTGAAAACCCATTCTTGACTTTAGTGTATTTCCTGAAAGTTTTCCTGTTCCCATCAGGACCACTTACAATATTATGCTTTTTATTTTTTACTCCCATTTGACACAAACTAGGATCATATAGGAAAAGGGAACCACAACTGAGAAAACACCTCCATAAGACTGGCCTGGGCTGGGGAGATGGCTCAGCAGTTAAGAGCACTGGCTGTTCTTCCAGAGGTCCTGAGTTCAATTCCCAGCAACCATGTGGTGGCTCACAACCATCTCTAATGGGATCTGATGCCCTCTTCTGGTATAAATGAAAATAAAGCATTCATATATATAAAATAAATAAATATTTAGGAAAAAAGACTGGCCTGCAGGCAAGTCTGTGGCACATTTTCTTGATCAACTATTGATGTGGGGGCCCCAGGCAACTCGAGTGGTGCGACTTCTGGGCCCCGGGTCCCAGGAGGTAAAGAAAGGGCAACTGAACATGAGCTGAACGCAAGCCAGTAAGCAGTGTTCCTCCAGGTTTCCCCATGTCATACAGTTCCAGCCCCAAGTTCCTGCTTCAGTTCCTACCTTGACCTACCTCAGTGACGGGTGATGGGGTGTGATCTGACAGTTGTAAGATAAAATAAACCCTTTCCTCCCAAAGTTGTTTTTGATCATGATGCTAATCACAGCAATAGAAAGCAAAGTAAGACACATGTAAATTTCACAAACCTGGGATGTCATAAAAAGAGCTCTAAACAGAAGCCAAACACCCAGGCCCTGCACTTTGCCTGGGCAAAACAACAGAGCTGGCCCTGATGGTGTGGGCACTGGTGAGCCAGCGCCGAGGGCACGAGAGCAGAACTGGCCCCACTCCTTGCTGCCTGCTGCAGTGAGTGAGCTAGCCGGGGCAATGCTGGAGAGCTCATCCTGGTAGTGTCAATGAGGGAGAGCTGGCAGACCGACCAACCCAGCTACCACTTGGCCCAGAACCAGGGCTACGAGTTGGTCCACCCCAACATCCACCTTATCTATGAACTGCTGGAGCATGTGAAGGGGCCAGACCTGCAGATCCAAAGCTGCAGGAACTGTATGACATGGGGAAACAGCAAGATATCCAAGAGCAGTCCCAGTGAGGGCCAAGTATAATGGGTATAGTAGAAGCCAGAGGCCTTGAGCCAGACCAATGATTCATTGCAATCAACACAAGTAAAGATGTACAGACTAAAGGGTAAACTGTGTGACTCACTGTGTCACACTACAGCTTCCACACTGAGACGTGTGTGTGTGTGTGTGTGTGTGTGTGTGTGTGTGTGTGTGTGTGTGTGTGTGTGTTATTTTGTTTTGTAAATTTTATTTTATTTTGGGGGGAGGGGGTGCAAAGGCAGAGGGACATATGAAGGGACAGGGAGATGAATAGGATCTGGATGCATGATGTGAAATCCACAAAGAATCAATTAAAAAAAAAAAGTCAGCCGGGCGGTGGTGGCGCACGCCTTTAATCCCAGCACTTGGGAGGCAGAGGCAGGCGGATCTCTGTGAGTTCGAGGCCAGCCTGGTCTCCAAAGCGAGTTCCAGGAAAGGCGCAAAGCTACACAGAGAAACCCTGTCTTGAAAAAACCAAAAAAAAAAAAAAAGTCTAAAATTAAAAAAGCTACAAGTCCTGCTTCCCACCCACCCTACTATGGTCACTGCTACATGTGGACACTGAACACTTGCATGTGATTAGATTCAAAACAACCAGTAAAACATGCACACAGAGTTCAGAGCCTCGGCACCAAAGAAAGAAGGGGAAATACCTGATGCACAAATGTTACATTTATGTTTATATAAATGACAATAGCTTGGACAGATTAAATAAGTCTTCAAGTTTCTAAAGCTAGGCTGGGTGTGGTGATGCATCTGTTACCGAAGCCACGGGAGGTGGAGGCAGGAGGATCAGGAGTTCAAGTCCAGCCTCAGTTATATATAACACGTCTGAGGGCAGTCTGGGCTATATGAGACGCTATACTTCAAAAAAAAAAAGTCAAGGGGCTTAAGAGGTGGCTCAGAGGTTAAGAGCACTGGTTGCTCTTCCAAAGGACCTGCATTCAATTCCCAGCACCCACATGGTAGCTCCCAACTGTCTATAACTCAAGTTCCAGCATCTCATACCTTGTTCTTGCCTTCATGGTGCACAGACACACACAGGCAAAACATGCATATACACAAAATAAATAAATCCTTTAAAAATGTCATTAAAATTACATATGTGTGTGTGTGTGTATTACATGCTACACACATAAAACTTGAAAGCAGTGCATGACGAGAGACACACAAAAGGCCACATGTTGTACAATTACATTTATATGAAATGGCTAGAACATATAAATCCACAGAGAAGGTAGACTAGCAGCCACCAGGGGCTGGAGGAGAGGAAGACAGGCAGCCACTGCTGCTGAGTTTAGAGTTCCTTTTGGCCACAATGCAAATGTTCTAGGATTTGATAATGACAATGGCAGCTACCCCTGAGAACATACTGAAAAACACTGAAGTATACATTGCAAAGGAGCGGATTCAATGGTATCTGAACCACTGCTCAATAAGCTGTTATTAAAAATTAATTTTGAGTGTTTACTTGTTTTTAAATGGGGCTTTCAGAAAATTTTCAATCATTTGATACTTCTGCAGGACAGCACTGGACTACCATTTGCTGAATCCACTGTCTTTTTTTCGTGGGTGTGTGTAATATGTCTGTGGTGTGTGTATTCATGTACATATCTGTGAATGTGGGCATACACCATCACATGCATGAGGAAGTCGGAGGACACTTCAGGGCTGCTCTACCCCTTCCACTTTGTTTTAGACAGAGTCTCTCTCTTTTGCTTTTTGCCACTTCTTATGCCAGGCTAGCTGGCCTGGGAAGTCCCAGGTAGTCTCCTGTCTCAGCTTCCCATTTTCCCACTGGTGCACCAGGATTACATACAAACTTGTGCTATTGTAGCCAGCTTTATGGATTCTGGAGATCCACACTCATCTTCATGAGCACAGCAAATGCTCTGCTCACTAGCTATCTTCCCAGACCCCAAACTTAGGTCTTGAGGCAAATTACACCTATTTGGACCTGTTTCCATTGTTAACAATGAGCATATGAGATGCCTTTCTACTGTCCTAGTTTATAAAACCGTATAATGTGCACGAAGACGAACAGATTTCCCATCCAGCACTGATCCCTTCAAATTTTTAACAAATCCCTGATTTTTAACAGAAGAACTTATTTTCAACTCAAGTTCTACTGCTCCATGGTTGTCAAGAACCAACCGAGTCTTTCAGTATGGGGAAGGCTGCATGGAACAGCTAGAAACCAGAGGACAGAATAAGCTAAAACTGGGATGTGCTCACCTCAACGGCCTGGGGAACCACACATCGGCGAGGACCATGCGGCACACCTAACTGGCCAAAGGCATTAGATCCACAAGACAGAACTTGACCTGTTTCTGCAAAAGATAAGCATTCATATTATAAATCTAAGAAGTGAGATGCCTGTGACCAACAGGGAGTCACGGATGAGAGGAGGCATCAAGGGTCCCGTGCCTCAAAGCCTTCCGGCCACTTCCCTTCTCTTATTCCTCCAGACTAAAGATTATGGGCCACTCTGTATCCTCAATGGTACATTACCTGTGCAGAGCACTTAGCTCAGGGCTAGTATTAGAGTGAGTGAATCTTACTCCCACTTTGTGTTTCCACCCCACTTCCCATGTCTCCATTCACAAATTCTGTGCATGCTCTAGGCCTTTCTCCTCCCTGCCCTTCCCCATACACTTACCTGAAGAGTCTGGGGAAAAGGACAAAATATGCATGGCCAGGCAAATAAGAGTTCTCCCTGGGAAACAAGTCTAGAGTTTGGAGGGCAAATTTGGACCAGAGGAATGTTAGAACCACCTGGCTTCATAATTAGCCCTGTCCTCCAACTTAACCTTTATCCATAAACCTGACAGTCTGATTTGCAACTCTGACCGCTTTGTGCCTTTCTCACACCTGGTTGCAAACAGTGCTTCCTTCTGCCTCTTAGGACCCTAACATGGGCCCATAATACGTACTTCACAAAGTGATCGCTAGCACTGAAATTCTTCATATGGAAGGAATTTTGTTTTTCAGAGCTAATCTAGCCAGGGCCTCGTGCATGCTCAGCAAGCTGCCTCTCCAGCCAGTCTGGAATCTGATAATTACTGTCAAACTGGGTACATATGGAACTCCTCTACAAAACAGAAATGGCGACAGCTGAGGAATACTGAAATACGGGACAACAGTGCATGAGACAGACGACAGGCGCCGTTCTGGGCACTGCGACAAAGAAAAGTTCAGGGAGTATGGCCCGTACGATGAAGGCAGCAGACACAGGAACCCCCGTCAAAGGTTATGTGCAAAAAAGCTTGGGACTTTTGCTATATATCTTGGGATCCACGAGCATTAAGAGGCAGAAACTACAGGTGGTCCTTTAAACCCAGACTGGCCAGCTAGGAAGGACAAAGTTGAACAGAGAAATCAATTCACAGAGTAACAATACAGACAGGTGTGATTTGCTTCCAAAAGAATTATTCTAGCAACTCTTTAGACATAACTCATTCTGTTACCTATCTTCATAGAGACCAAATGTTTTTAAGGGGAGATAGAAAAATAACTCAGTGGTAGAGCCCATGCCTAGCACACGTGAAGGCCTGGGTTTGCTCTTCAGCAATGTCGCCATGGAAGCCCCTCAGTGGGAAAGACCTGCTCCTATTGCTGTGAAATCCCTACTCCCTCATAATTAATTAGCACTAGCTAGTTTTACATCAACTTGACACAAGCTAGAATCATTGCAGAGGAGAGAGCCTCAACTGAGAAAATGCCTACATAAGATCTGGCTGTAGGGCATTTTCTTAATCAGTGACTGGTGGGAGAGGGCCCAGCCCATTGTTGGGGGTACCATCCCTGGGCTGGTGGTCCTGGATTCTATAAGAAAGCAGGCTGAGCAAGCCATGAGGAGCAAGCCAGTAAGCAACATTCCTCCATGGCCTCTGCATCAGCTCCTGCCTCCAGTTTCTTGCCCTGCCTGAGTTCCTGTCCTGACTTCCTTTAATGAAGAACAGTGATGTGGAAACAGAAGACAAATAAACCCTCTCCTCCCCAAGTTGCTTTTGGTCATGGTGTTTCACCACAGCAACAGAAACCCTAACTAAGACACCTAGCACATTACCCATAATAACTCTAAATGGCACTCCTGGCCAGCTAGACTAGGCGCATAGCTCTCATGAACTTTGGGGACTAAAATTGACCACCTAATGAGGTCTGGTCCATCCCCCAGTTCCTGGCATGTACTCAATGTACATGTACTCAAGCCTGATCTCCTTTATAGTTAAAATTCTCCTTATAAAAGGTACCCTGCAGTTTCCCTACATAGCCATAGATAACACTTACAAGTTTTAGGGTTTTTTGTTTTTCTTCAAAAGTACAGAGGCTCTTATTTAACCAGGGCCCTCCTCTACACTGCTATCACCCAAAGCCTTGGTGGTGATATTTACCCAAGAGTGAACTTACCTGTGAGCATGATGGTAAAATCCCAGCCACAGGCCACCTGTCGTATTGGACAACTAATGAGAGGCTTGCAAACGGTAAAACACAGAACATCCTCTGTGTGACCAAGCCCCAACTGCCCATCTTTATTCAGGCCACAAACAAAAAGTCCTCCTCCATCTGCAAAACAGAAAGCTCTGTTGGGGGGTATTCGATCACACTGTGAACCCCAAGTTTGCATTTGAATTAATTCAATAAAATTAACCTCGGGTCAGGAGGATGAGTTAGCAACCAGTTGACAGAAAGTAATCACAGAGCATCCGAGGGCGTCCAGATGAGTTAGAGACACACAGGAAGTGGCCAGGAGGGATTTGGAGTGGAGGCTTTTTATGCTTTGGTTGAGCAGAAAGACACTCTCTTTCCGAGACTTCGGCAGGGAGAGAGGGTCAGCTGGTTGCTACTCCACCTCTTTGAGCTCGCAGGTTTTCACCCCAGCTTTTGAACCTCAAGTCTTATTTATAAATAGAACAACAGAATTTTAGTTAAAGCTACCTTTAGCGGCAGCGAAAGGGCCAGTGCCTGTGGGAACAGAATTCCCACAAAGCTGCAGCCTGAGTGGCCAGGCCACCGCCGAAGAAGCAGGCCAGTAACTGCGGAGATTCAACTGCTGGCTGAAACAGCAGTAAGTTAAAGGGCGGCCACTGTACCGAAGTTAAAACAACAAAGCTCCAGTGTCACCATCGTGCACAGGGAGTCACAACTCCCAAAGAAAGAAGAGGTTACTGTGCATTATTTGGAGCCACAGACAAAAGACTTCTTGCCCATGTTAATGTTATTAAGTGATGCATGCTAGTGTGTTCCGGAACCAAAGATATCAGGCCAAGGGCTTCAAATGTAATGTATAAATGGAAACTCCCAGTTCTGAACAAGTGCCAATCAATCACCAAATGGAGCGCCCATGACCACAGGAAAGCCAACATCAACGCAATACTTAGAATGTGCCAGGAACTGTCCAAAGAGCTGAACATGGGAGACCTTCCACACGTGTCTAGGACCCATAATACTTTGAAAGGAACGGTTTAATTTTAAATTGTTTTAACGTAACTTTAATGTAACAATAATTCATATATAATACAAATGCCATTCTTAAGTACAGTTACTTTCTATCAGTAATTTTTGGCATTTCCTTACAAAAGAAGGGAGGAATCCCTGATGACAAAGACCTGTAAAACGCTCTAATATAGCCTGAAAATACCCTGAGTTTATCTACTGTTATTATCCCCATGGGACAGGTGAAGAAAAAATTGAGTGTGCTGCTCAGCTTTGGCTACCAACTTGCCACAACCTACAATCACCTGGAAGGAGAGTCCTAGTGAGAAATGATCTAGACCAGGTTGACAGGTGGACATGTCTGTGGGACTGTCTTGATCAGAAATTGAGATGGGGAACCCACTCTGAATGTGGCCAGCAGCACCATTTCATGGGCTGGGCCCCTAACTGTGTCAGGGTGAAGACAGCTGGCTGAGGATAAGCCGCAAGCGGGCTAGGATGCTTTTGCTTCTCTGCTCTTGACTGCGGAGGTGATGCCTTAAGTTCCTGCCTCGACTCCCTGCGAGAATATTAAGTCAAACAGACCCCTTCTCCCCGATGCTTTTGGTCAGGCATTTTATCACTGCAGCAGACCTAAGAGCAGAACACTGTGGTGTAACAGGGAAATACTGGCCAGAGCCGCAGAGCTAATGAACCACAGAACTGAGCCCAGCTCCCACTCTTGACCAGATGCCATACGGCAGCCTTCACGAAGCTGAAGCATGTGTGGCACCCGGTGCCCTCAGCACTAGGACAGAAAGTTAAGGACAAGGGAAGGTCCGTGATCTCAAGGGGTATTTCACCTAGTTGCAAAGGCTTCAAAGTAAAACTTAAACAGGTTATAACACGTCCACCAATTTGCCTTATGACCTTAAGCCTTCCTCTCCGAGCTTTATTTGTATAAGGGGTTAGGGGAAGGGAACTTAAAGAACTCAGAAGTTCAAGCTCTGACCAGCTAGGATTCCCTTAACGGTTATTTGGCTCTTTCACAAAAACAAATGCTGCTCTCTGAGAAAGACAAAAGACCAAAAGATGGCAAGGTAACATCCAAGGGGAAATTCCTCGACACAGAAGTGAGTGGCTATCCATTTGTGAAGAGAACTACCTGTGACAGCTGCAGAGTGGCCCCCTCCTCCTGTGACGCTCTTGATACACCTAGGCTCGCAGAAGTCACTCAGCTGCTGGGGCAGGAGCACATCTTCCTTATGGCCAAGGCCAAGCTGCCCGTAGCTATTTGCACCCTGGGGATAAAATACAACACAGATGAAAAGCAATCTGAGTGCCCAACTGTCAGCATCCATCCACCTGTCAGCGTCCCTCACCCTGACACACCTCTCAGAGCCCCTGACATTTCACACACCCATTCTTTTTTTTTTTTTTTTAATTTAATTATAGATAGTTGTGAGCTACCACGTGGTTGCTGGGAATTGAACTCATGACCTCTGGAAGAGCAGCCAGTGCGCTTAACCTCTGAGCAATCTCTCCAGCCCCTCACACACCCATTCTTAGGAGGCTGTCTTGTGCAGTCTACATTGAGAAACCAGGCCCATCTGTGAGCACCGTGATTTCTATTTCAGAGGCATCCTTGGCATCCACAACTTAGCCAACCACGTGGCTCAACTTTCCCTTCAAGTACACAACCCTGTTCTAGTTTGTTGCTGGGGGGAGAGGGGACCAAAACTGATTTAGGGAAGGAAAGGGCAGAAGCCATGAAGAAAACTACCTGTGACTCACTGGTTCTCTCCACTAACTTTCTTATACAGCCCAGGCCTATCAGCCTAGGGATGGTGCCACCCACAGTGGACTGACTGGACCTTCCACATCAATCAACCAAGATGATTGATCACAGACTTGCTCACAGGCCAATCTGACCAAGGCCTTCAACTGACATTTCTCTTCCCAGGTGATTCTATGTTGCATCACAAGGACCAATCAAGACTAAACTGTCTTTGGGAATCAGTCCAAGGATCCCCTCTGATAAAAGCTAATTATCTAGGAAAGCTGAGAAAAAAAATTTGATGGGGGATGAGGGAAAAGTCAGCAGGAAACACTCTGTCTGGAATCAGTTTTGCACCCCTCTCCCCATCCTCACTGGGAAGCAGGAATAACTCTCTGTATTTATTCAGTTAGCTAAGGATGCTGCATCCCGAACAGGAAGCACTGTCATTTATCTGTCCAGTACAAGACCTAGGCAGTGATCGCCAAAGGGTCTTTTTAAGTATAGCATTGGACAACTCCAAAATTCAGATCCCCCTTGTAGATCTACACTATCAAGTCATACAGAGTACAGGTCTAGGGATTCAGCAGAGCAAGAGAGTGCTGGCCTGGCATGTTGCTAGGTTCAGTCTCCAACACTGGAAGGAAAAAAGTCTCTAGTCTGAAATCTTTACCGCTACGTTACCTAAATAGAATTCAGTATATACACAAATACATGTCACAAAGATGCTATAAAGACGACGAAGGCAATGTCCATTAAGTGAAACAATGACCTCTCTGCGACAAAAGACACAAACACAACAGTGAGCAGACACTGTGAAGAGCCTGAGGCTCAGCATGTTCCAAGTTCTCAGAGCCTGTCATATTCAGTCAAACAAGAGGAACTGTGACCCCACGAAGAGAATCTTCTTAATACTTCAGAAATTCCTCTCTTCAAGTGCCTACTCCCAAGCTGGTCCCTTTGGAGGTGAGTGGTGGAGCCATTTAAAACCCGTTTTTGAGGGTCCCCGGATGAGAACGTGTGATTTAAAACAACTACCAAGACATGAATACAAAACACACAATTACCCGGCTGTCTGTTGGGTATTTCCAGCCACCTTGAGCAGCAGGGCACCAAGATGAAGAATGAGCTATGCACGGGGCACAGGTCAAGAGGGCCTTGGGAACAATACAGCTCCAACTAAGTGCTTCTCTGCATACATCACAGGCACCTTCCATCCTCATAACTAAGGAGCATTAGCATTCATTTTACAGATGAAGGAACTAAGGCCCGGGGAGGCTCAAGAAATGACCCATAGTTACAGAACTGGGTGAGCAAGTTAGAAGTCTGCTTCTTTCATTAGATCTTACTTGTCAGTAAGAAATAAGGATGTATTCGGAACCAGCCCAGAGCTTAAGCCACATGACTCTAGACTACTGCTCACCTCCATCATTTTATCCCCATTTTCTTCTTTGTATCATTCCTTGGTACTACAGTGTGTCTTGCCTACTTGATTAGTCTACCTCCTCTCCTAGAAACCATGAAGTCAGGGACTCTCCTAAACCTGAAACTGCACTGGACAGGTGTGGATGTCAGGCACAAGTCTCCATCCTGAAAAGGTCGAATGCAACACCACTGTTGCAGAGTGAAACAGAGAGCATACGCTGGGGTTTCGAGCCAGTCTGGATGCCCCATTACCAGGCTTGCAGGATGAGGAACACCTGCGGGAGAAGCCAGGCAAGAGCAATCCGAGGGTCGTGCTATGTATCAATCTCTGTAGTGCAGCAAGAGGCCTTAAACCCAATATAAAGCTGGGTAAAGGAAATTTTAATATACCTTATAACAATTATGGTATGATCCTTCTTTAAAAAGGATCCAGACAGAACACACACACACACACACACACACACCCTTGTGAGAGGATGAATTGTGTTCCTCTAAAATTTCTATGTTAAAGCCTGACATATCACAATATGGCTGTATTAGAGACACAACCTTTAAAGAGGTAATTAAGGTTAAATGATGAGACTATAAAGGTGGGACCCTAGTCCAGTCCATCTACAGTCTCTTCCTAAGATACCAAGGATGCCCACACACAAAGAAACAACCGCCGAGGCCTCAGAGAAACCGAAAGTGCCCCCACCTTAATCTTGGACATGCAGCTTCCAGCACTGTGAGAAAATAAATTTCTATTGTTTAAGAACCCAGCCTGTGGTGTTTTGTCACAGCAGCAGAAACCAACTAATACATGCACCCTGATTACACAGCAGGAAGAATACCCCAGCAGGCCTCCAAGCACCCTAGTAAAGGGAGGTTCAGCCCCACTTCTGTCTCTGTTCATTCAAGGCCACATCTGAAAGGCTTTCTCTGTCAGATGTTTCTCCTCTGCCAAAGAGACAGCAGTCTCCTGGAAAATGACAGGCAGCAACACATTCAGTTATTAACCCCGCCCCCACCTCAAGTGCTGCCTCAAGGAGAACCAGCTAGGCCAGGCCATGCTCTCCCTCCCAACAACCTTACACTCAACAAGTGAAAAGTATGTCAATAAATACTAATTTTGGCAGAAACACAGGTGTTATAGCCCCCTCTAGTAAGGAACTGGAACCCCTTTACATCTATGTATTTCCCCAAAATTAACACTTAGCTGTGGCACACAGGTACTCATTCATTCGTTTCATCCATCTGTTCATTCATTCATTCTTGAATATTTCCCTGGGGTCTACAAGATGCCAGGCACCAAGAGAGACAATGCGAACACCACTAGCTCAGTACTCACTCTCAGAACACCTCCGCTGTAGTCAAGGAGACTGCCGTTAACCAATCATGCATTCCAATTACAATTTTGGCATTTAGTATTAAGAATTGAAACACCCAACATATGCTTCCTGCCACGCATGTCCCCCACACTCGCGAGCATAAAGCCTCCTCTCTAGTCACACCATAAGGATGACCATGGTTCTCTCAAAGCTCGGTGTCAAACCTGACCAGCCCAGACTCCCACGCCCCCAGAAAAGATCAGATCCGGTCACAGCAGAGTAACAGCAAATACGCAGGGTCTGCGCGTCACGCGGGCACACTCCACAGGCCTCACATCCACCGGATGCTCCCCAGGGTGATGGCGCTGGAAAGGAGCCTTCCATCCTCCAGGCAAAAGGAAGGTTCGATGACACAGGTGGCCCCGCGAGCTCTGGCACCAAGCGATCTTCTTTCTGTCCAGCCTCCACGCTGTCTTCCCAGGCGCTCTGGCGGCCAAGGGCTTCCCCAGCATGGACGCTCTGCCCTGAAGGTAGGGTCCTCCCGAAGTGCCTCCGTGCCCCCAGTCCTCATGCCACAATTAGCAGCAGGTCCCTCAGGCACCGCGGGGAGACCCTCCCTCCGCACCCTTGCCTCCCTGCTGCAGCCCAGAGTGCGCCAACCCAGGACCCTGGCTTGGGCCTCTGCCTCCCAGTTCCCCCGCCACCCACGCAGACGCCGGGAGCTCCCGGGTCTCCGCGCCCCTTAGTCGCTTCCCGAGCCCGGGGGCGGAGCCACGTACCCAGGCGAAGAGCGCGGCGGTGGAGGAGTCAGCCTCCGAGACCCAGGACTCGCGCGCCATGCACACGCTCGGCCGGCGCTTCCGGGAGGGGCTGGCAAGGGGCGGGGCCGCGGGAGCCAGGGGCGGGGCCGCGGAAGCCAGGGGCGGGGCGAGTCCTGGAGCTGGGCGCGGCCAGCGGGACGAATCTAGGGACTAGGCGGGGCCCGTGGGCGGGGAGCCGGAGGATGCTGGGGACAGTTCTTTCCCCCAGCTCGAAGGAACTCAGCCAAAACACTGTCAGACGGGACCTCGCAGCCTCCAGGCAACACACCCGTGTGGGAATGTCTTCTGCACCCACACTCGTGATGCATTACGCGTCGCGCTCAGTCATCCATCATCCAGAAAGCTCTCCACGGGCCCCCATGCTGCCCAGAGCGGCTGACTTGACCGGGATGACACAGCGTGGTGGGGAAGGGAGCTGAGCCTGAGGGTGGGAAGGGTCCATTCCGGAGTTATCCCGAAGCTGCCTTGGCCTGCTTCGCTGTGCGTTTGGGAACCTGAGAGTATTGGGTGGCGGTGATCGCCTTCTAAGCCTGACCCCACGGCGGGAACACGCCCCTGACAACACCCAGAGAGCTGGCTATTGTCTGTTGTGCCCCTGCGCTGTCCCTACCGTCTACAACGGCCTGCCCTAATTCTGGTGATCAATATGAATAATTCTCACCCAAGATAGATTTTCATGCAATACAGCTTTTGTCGACGCTGTCATGATGTTGGTGGGAGTTAAACAGTACAAGGTACCAAAGCGCACTGGGAAAATGGAATTCGGAATCTGGAGGTGGGGAGATAGTGTCACATTTAAGGCGATGATCTGCATTCGTAGCTCTGGTCTCTCTGCAGACAAGTTTTCTTCTCCCCCTGGGCCCTCACATTGGAAAGTATCTCAGGGAAGCTACTATCCAGGTCTCGCCTGTTCACGGTCCTCACACTCCTTGGTTGTTACTGCCTGCTGGACCTCGTGAAGACAGCCCCTGGTCTTTTCTCTCCCAGACTGTGGCATCTTGAGAAGGTGGGTGGTGATACTTAGAAATACAGACAAGACAGGCAGAGATGCTCTATCCTGAAGCCCTAAGAGATCCAGGGCAATGTTTACCAGTTTTCTGTTGGGGTTTTGGCCATTCCTTTCAAAGGCATTGTAATAGAATGTCACAGTAGGGTATAATGGGACGTCCTTTCTCCTTTTCAGCAGTTCCCAAAGCAATAAATGCCAATAACTCACACATTATAAACTAAGGAGGGTTTGTGCAGGTCTTGTGCTTATTGTCACAGTCTCTGTGTTTTCCACACAAAATCCCAGAGTTGATGAGGAGAAGTGGGCACAAAAGTCCCACCCCTAACTAAGAAGCTGTTTGCAACTGATACATAGGAAAGAGAAAAACCAGTTTTCTCCAATGGAGTAAACTGGGTGTATCAACCCAACTCCAGGGCAAGCCCCATGCTTAAGAACAGTTGACGAACACAAAACAGACTCGATGTTTCATGTGTGCTTTTTGTTGTTGTTGTTATGTCTTAGTGTTTTTAGTCTCTTGGGTTTTAGTTTTTCTTGTTGGGGGTGTTCAGAGATAACAAGAGGGAGGTGAAGAGGATCTGGGAGGACTTGGGTGAGGAGAAAAAATATAACCAAAGTATATTGTATAAAACTTTTTAAAAATAATGTTTAAATGTAATAAAAATAAAAACAAAGTAAGGTGGCAGAAACCAAGCCAGAATTTGTGAAGCAGGTGTCAAGAAATCTGGATGGATTCCTGTCTAAGAGACAAGAGAGGCTGCAAGGGATCCCAACGGGGTATTTGGCTACTGTTATCAGTGTGATATCGTGATATGGATCCCAACCATCTCAGCTCCAAGGAAAGATACTGCAACAGGACCAAGAAACCATTTGGATTGGGGGATGCTTGGCTCATGATGAGAAATGCAATAGCTAGCCGTCAGACAAGGACTGATCGCTGGTCAGAGAGAGCCTTCTGTCCAAGTCAGCATGAGCAAATTAGCAAGCAGTCTTAGGCTGTGTTGGAGAGCACTTAAAGGGATAGAATGGCACCCACAGGACAGTTGGCCACCAGATTCCCAGAGACTGATGGAGACGAAGTTAACAGTCTCCTAGTCAGAGAGTGACACCTCTGATACCGAGGCCTTGCAAACCACCCCAAACAGAGTGAACTGACATTGATACTTTACAACTTGGTCCAACGAGACCTTTCCTCCTTCTCCCAGCTCCCTGCTCCCTGCCACTCAGGTCCTCAAGGAGACCAAGCCTCCAGGGAGTGGGAGGGGTGTAAGGAAATAAAGAAACTAATGAACTCCAGTCTCTGTCCTAGAGGAGGAAGAAGGCTCTGACCTTAAAGTCTGATGTTTCCCATTACATAGAAGGGGGCTTTCTTTTGTGAGCTTCAGGTGGAATCCAAGGCATTATACAAGCTAGGAGAGAACACTAGCCCTGAACCACAGCCCTAGCCCAGGACTGGACCTTTAAAATACTGACGTGGGGAGGGGGTACCCTGAGGTTTCACTAAAGGTGCAAAGAAGAGCTACTTACAGAACCAATTTCACGGAATTTGGGAAGTGGGGTGGTTTGAATGGGAAATCTCCCCCCGCCTCGCTGACTCTGGTGTTTGAACACTTGGTCCCCACCCGTGGCGCTGCTGGGGAAGGTTGTGGAATCTTTGGGAGGCGCAGCTTTACCACAGCCTGTCTGTTTGCCCACCTAGGACTGAGCAGGTGCCATCTTCCCAAGGCAAAAAGTGGGACTAAACTGGAATTTCCGGGATACTTTCACTTTTCCAAGATGAAGCGATCTAGAACAGGAAAGCTGAGCTTCGGGAGCCTCCTCAGCAGAGTCCTCACAGCAGGGACCCAGGGAAGAGTTAGTGCACAGAGAACCAAGGTGCACTGAGCCCAGCTCTGCTTTCTACAGAAAGATTACCAAGCTGCTGGCCAGTTCTCTCAACTAGAAAAGCTGTCGGCAAGTGGATTTGTTGTTGTTGTTTTTTGTTTTGTTTTTAATCTGTTTCAAGTCATTAGAGAGCTTCCAAAGCAACAGAAACTCACGGGGCCCTGACAGGAAGCCAAGAGGTTATACCTGGCGCTCCTTTCCTTGAAGCACTTGCTCAGTAGCAAGCATGACTTGGAGGCTGGGAATCTGAGGTGAGAGCCGCAGTCTTAGCAGTGATTTTACGGGAGGGGGTGGGGAGAGTGAAGCAGGACAGACAGGGAGTTAAGTCCCCGGATGTACGCTTAAGCGGGATCCCTAAAGGGCTACATACTGAGAGCAGAGGTGACCCGGAAGTAGACCGGCCTCACCAAGCTGAAGCTCGGCTTCTCATTGGCTCAATCCCTAACTGGACCAAGATCTTCCCATGCCATCGTAAACACACTGCCTGCTAGACACGGCAGTTATTCTCTCTGGAGGAAGATAGAATCATCCAGAAGCTGTGGGGGAATCTTGGTTAAAAGTTATCGCTAATGATTCTTTACATGTAGAAAATAAGGTGTTGGAGGCCAGAACGGGGCATCAGACCCCCTGGAGCTGGAGTTACAGGCAGCTGTGGGCTGGCAGATGTGGTCCTGTGACCCATCTCAGGTCCTCTGTAAGAGAAGTGTGTGCTCTTAACTGATGAGCTGTCTCTTCAAAACCATGAATCTGCTTCTTACAAAGCCTCGTGTGACATAATTTTCTCCAGTAACTCAGTGCAGGAAACCTAGCTCGCATTCAGACAGGGAACAGGAGAAGGAAGCCTTCCCAATAAGTGGTGATGAGGGCCAGGTGTGCTCAGCTTTACCGTAGCTCATGGTTATATACCTTAAAGAAGCAGAGTGGTATATAGTTTTTATTTTATATTTTGCATCTTCTTAAAAATATTTTAAGTTAGTATACAAAGTAATGGGTTCCACTGTGGCATTTTTGTTCTTCATTCTAAGTCAGTGTCCTCCCCCATGGCTGAGTCTTGGTACCAACCATCACCACTGCTAGGGTCTCTACACTAATAAAATTGTGAACACAAAATTGAATCTGTTTTTAATGTATGTTTGACAAAAAAAGAAAATACTTTTTGAGAGGCAAAATGGCTCTGCAGTTAAAGGTGCTTGTGGCCAAGACTGATGACTGGAGTTTGATTCCTGGGGCACGGATACACACACACACACACACACACACACACACACACACACACACACACACACATACATTGTAAACTGTACTTTAAAAAAAACACTTTGAGAACATGAACCTTGAGTTTATTGTCCAGTGGGATAACAAACTTTTAAATTATAAATGTACATTACACAGCGTACTGAGGACAAGAGCGAAATGGATCACAGTTATCTTTATCCACTTCACGGACATTAACATATGGTCTCCGTTATTTATTGCTTTTGAGAAGTCCTCGCTTGTTTCTTTCCCTGGAAGCCAGCTTGCTGTGGGATGGTCTGTATGTCAAATGTGTTGCTGATTGGTCAATGAATAAATCACTGATTGGCAGTGGCCAGGCAGGAAGTATAGGCGGGACTAACAGAGAGGAGAATTGAGAGAACAGAAAGCTGGGTGAGGGAGACACTGCCAGCCGCCATCAGGATAAGGAAGATGTAAAGTACCAGTAAGCCACAAGCCACGTGGCAAGGTATAGATTAATAGAAATGGATTAATTTAAGCTGTAAGAACAGTTAGCAAGAAGCCTGCCACGGCCATACAGTTTGTAACCAATATAAGTCTCTGTGTTTACTTGATCGGGTTTGAGCGGCTTGGTACTGGCGGGTGAGAGAGATTTGCCCTGACTGTGGGCCAGGCAGGAAAACTCCAGCTACACCAGCTTACAAACGGTCAATGATTCTGTACATGTTGCTGTATCTTGCTACTTCTGTAACTCCAGATGCCAAAGCATGAAGTTAAGGAACATAGGCATTCTGATGATTCGCATTTGTGTTTTCTTCAAAAAAAAAAGTCAAACATACTACTTGTGACAAGGAATGGCTCTCAGGTAAAGAATTGCAAGCCATGCTTTTGATTCCATTCTGTCCTGGTGTATGAATAATTATTTAAAATTTCTTAGGTATTTTGAAAATTCTAAAACTCTTGGATCCCTGATTTGCCAAATATCATGATCCAGAGGTTAGATGCAGTTGAGCTCATCACTAAACATTTCCACTATCTTGAAGCTACTAATGATAAGGTTGTGACTTTACTATTTATTTTATTTTATTTTATTTTATTTTTTTTTTGGTTTTTCGAGACAGGGTTTCTCTGTGTAGCTTTGCGCCTTTCCTGGGACTCACTTGGTAGCCCAGGCTGGCCTCGAACTCACAGAGATCCGCCTGGCTCTGCCTCCCGAGTGCTGGGATTAAAGGCGTGCGCCACCACCGCCCGGCTTACTATTTATTTTAAAGTGCTTTAGTCCCAGCAAGGATTAAGCACCATCATTTAAATCCCGTTAACTGGGATTCTCCAGCATCATCGAAGTCCTGTGAGAATAACCAGACACAGCAGCTGGGTTCCCTGTTTGCTGTCTGTTATGATTTCTTTGCAGTGCTTTCCGTGGTAACCAAGCAGACTATAAACTAGCTGGTCTCTATCTCAAATGGTTTTGGATGAACTAACATATCTACTCACTGCCATATATATGCTCAACAGCTGTTAAAATGAGAATGTTTACAAAGATCTGAGATGGCTGATTTGTTCTTCCTTGATCTGCTTCCTTGTAGAGCATGGAATGAAACAAAGTATTGTGGGATATTTGTATACTCTGTGAAGTTCTGTCCTTGTGATTTGTTTAATAAAAAGCTGACTGGCCAATAGCTAAGCAGGAGAGGTTAGGCGGGACTTCCGGGCAGAGAGAGGAACTTGGAGATGAATCTAGGCAGACAGGAGATGCCACCGAGACATAGAGCAAGTTGTCCAAACAGAATTGAGGAGAGGCAAGAAACCACGTGACAGAGCATGGATGACAAGAAACAGGTATTGAAGTTATAAGAGCCAGCTGAGAACAGGCCTAAGCTAAAGGCCAAGCTTTCATAATTAATAATAAGTCTCCTTGTCATTATTTTGGAGCTGGCAGTCCCAAAGAAAGTCTGACAAGAAAGACCAACAACAATACAGCTTTTAACAATTTCCTCTGAAGTCTTAAAAAGATTTTTAAAAAATCTAGTGTAAAAAAAAATCTAGTGGGCTTGAAGCATGTTCAATGGTATGGTATATGATTTTACTATTATGTGAGAAACAGAGGTGGAATTTTTAATTTTTTTATCTGTATGGATGTTTTGCCTCCATGTATGGCTGTGTACCATATGCATGCCTGCCTGATATCTACGGAGACCAGAAGACATTGGATCCCCTAAAACTGGAGTTCCAGATGGTTGTGAGCCACCATGTGGGTGCTGGGAATCAAACTCAGGCCCTCTAAAAGAGTGGCTAGTGTTCTTAACTGCTGAGCCCTCCATCCTACCCTGGTAGTAGTGAACTCTTAAACTGTACTGTAGGATCTCTCTCTCTCTCTCTCTCTCTCTCTCTCTCTCTCTCTCTCTCTCTCTCTCTCTCCCCTCCTCTCTCTGTGTCTCCCTCCTCATCCCTCCCTCTCTTCCTCTCTTTCTCCCTTCTTCCTTCTCTCAGTCCTTCCCTCTTTCTCTTTACATCCTTTATGAAGTTTATAGCTTTGCTCTGCCACATTCTCCCACCATTCCTTGCTTCACCACAGACTTAAAACACAGGAACAGCTTCTAATGGACCAAAGCATCCAAACATGAGCCAAAATAAACTTTTCTTCTTTATAAGGTGATTGCTTCTGGCACTTTGTCACAGTAATGAAAAGTTTCCACAACTGCTTACGCTAATGCTGCACAGCTGAGACCACATGTGCTGCCGTCCTCACTGTCCTCACACAATTACACTCTCAGGCCCAGACTGCTCTCCTTGGCCCCTCTCCTTTTCCTTCCCCATGTCCTACCTTCTTCCCTCACTGTCTTCTCATTTATGTCCTAGTGTGACACCTTGAGATAAAGTGCCAGGGAGAGCTGGGATCGCAGGCGCTGCCATGCCTGGCGGAGTCTTGGTGACTTGTGTCCCCGTCGGACATTGCACTTGGAGCCAGCTTGCTCTTACCAGTCATGCTCTAGGACCAAGCCATCTGCACTTCTGTCCATGCTAGCAACGGGGACAGCTAGTCTCCTGTACATCTAGTGTGAGAACACGCCTGAGCTGTTACAAAGGTGGTGACAGGTCACAGATACAGACATGCTTGTCAAGGCATCCAAAGTGACCATTTGCTAATGACAGACTGGGATGAGACCAGCTCTTACCAGTGTCAAACAACTTGCCCATCAAAAAATGGGCATTCGGGACAAAGGCCATTATAGCGGGGGATGGGGTTGGAGGGAAGAAAGGGAAGGGGAAAATGATTTAATTATATTTTAATGAAATAAATATTTTAAATGGGAATTTGGTGAATCACATGGCATGTGAATTATATTTCCCTAAGCAGGTGCCAAAACACAAAACAAAAGTAGAAGTTCGCTGTGGCTGAAGCATCCAGGTGTGCATTTTCAGAGACAGAAAGAGATGGGAGACTTTGTTAACCCGGGAGCTGCTGTCCTTCCTCAAGCAGATCTTGGGGGAAGCAAGAGGTGGCCCTGGCTCTGAACTGATGCTCATTGGCTTTCTGGATTCAGACTGGAGACGATCACACACTGGGCTGCCTGCTGACCTTAGTAAGGGCATCACTGATGACATCGAGGTCATACCGCAACTCATTCACAGCGCCGGTTATGCTCTTGGCGTCTCTCAGAACCTGAACACTCTGAGTGTACGGATTGTACTTCACTCCAAACGGGCGCTTTACAGTTTTGGTAAATTCTCTATTTAAGAAAACAAGTAAGGGAGTGTTAATTTCTATGAGAGTGAGTGATAAAATTAAATAAAGGACAGAAGACCTGGTCACACACAGACACAGACAGACAGAAAGACACACCACACACACACACACACACACACACACACACACACACACACACATACACACCTGCTTTCTCTGTGCTGACATCAGTGGCCTCAACACCATCTTTTGAGGAAAAGCTCAATCCCTCCTTCTCTCTCTCCCTCTCCTCCTCTCCATTCTCCCATACTGAGCACTAATCCCATGTCTTCTGTCTTGGGAGTGATCTACAACCCATCTTTTGACCTCATGGCTTCACTAAGGGCATCAACCACAGTAACTTTATCTGTCAGGATGTCAGTAGATAAGGACAATACTGAGCTACACAGTAACAGACTCCTCAGCTATGCCTTACATAGCAAAAGAGGGGACAGGATGGGGGAGGGGAGAGGGAGTCCTACCCTCCTGTACTGGTGAGATTTTTCAGCTTAGAATGTTTCTAGCTTCCTCTCAAACGACTTGCGTTCCCCCCCCCCCATTTTCCCAAGGTTTAAAATTCGTCTCCTTTATCAAGCTGACCTTTGAACCTCTTACTTGGTACCCTACAGAACAATCATGCTCAGGACCCCAAAGGATAACTGTGCAGCTGAAAACAAGTGTACATGCTTGGGGACTGGAATCCAGGTTCCCATCCATCTGGTCTCCACAGTGGGGACCACTGCAGCTTTGCACAAGGATGCCATCAGTGCTAGAGAAAGCACACCTGCCACAGTTATTGGGTTCTGTGCATAGCAAGCCCCTAGGAGATTAGCATTCTCTCCAACCCCTGTATGCCCCTGTCCTCACAGTGTGGCTTCATGACTCCCTTCATCACATGCTAGTTCCTGGAGCCTGCTTCCATAGGCACTTTCTCCCTGCTACCGCTATCTCAGTCCAGATTTTACTTTACATGGAGTTCACAAGAATCTAAAAAGTGTCTATCTGTGCTCCAGTTCTCCCCCTCTGGGCTGCATCCTTACCTGATGACAAGTCAGGAGATCTGGCTGCACTGAAATATCCCCATGCATCTCTATCGCTTCATCTTTTTCCATGTCCTTTCAGCCTAAAACTTGACACATCCCAGTTCTAGCTAGTCTTCCACCTGTCTCACTTAACTCCAAGATTTCTGAGATTCTCCAGCTGGAGAGGAGACCAATGGAGGCAAGACAGTGTTTCCTTTATGCCTCCATTCTTGTCACTTCCTGTATTACTACAGTAGTGTATCTATAGTTTCTTTTCCTGCTGAACCATGAACTCTGCTGGGAAGGAATGGGGAGGAGCCAACCTCTCAATGTATCTCATTCCCATATGCAACTAATTAATATATCATATTCAACCGACTCTAAACAATGGATATGTGCCAGATAGAAGGCTCCTCATGGGCACCCGATTACCTACTTGCTCACACCTGTGATTATTGTATCTTTGGACATTACTTTTGCAGCAAATGGAAACTTGAAGGAGATAGGATTTACCTCATCTTCTCCTTTGCATCTTCAAAGCTCTCGGATACAAAGTAAACATCCTGGAAGGTTGTGATGAGACATTCCTGCTTGCAGGCAACCTTGGGATCAAAGGGCTTAACTTTGGCATGTCCAGAAAGCGCATGCTGGGGGACAAAGAACGGCAATCAGATACTGCCTCTCTCTTCCCAGAACACATGACTGCAGCAACTGACTCTGAGTCATGCAAGGGACCTGTCTGCAACCCCAGACAGACCCACTGCATCTCTGCTTCAGCCAGTCTAGCCCAAGAAAAGAGGCTTGCTGTCCCCCACAAATGGCTCAAGACCATCTCAGTGATTTTATTTTAACTTTCTTCATCACATAGGAGGTACCCAAGGATCTTTATTGATTCGCTTATTTATTTATGCCTTAGGGTACCTACCTACTCTTTACCTCTACTGGTCACTCTTACATTTATTTATCCACCACCAGAGAGCAGCCTCCTTGCGTACAAGACAGTACCTTGGACAGCGTTTGTAGCATGGCTCACCCCACAGAGCTCACTTCTCTATTTGGTACAGAGCTTATTGCTTGTATCCCAGAAATTTGTTTAAAGCTTTAAAACACTTTCTATTTAAAAGACACATTTTTTTCCTAGAAATTTGGGAGAGTAGAGAAAAATGTTCTCGAAGTATGTTTACCGCCACCTGAAATATTTGCCCCAGTCAGCCCTTGCTCAGACGCAAGCCCTGCCTCCAGGCGTGCTGATAGTGTTGGTGGACACAGTTATGTGCAAAGACTTACGACTCTTACTTTGAGCTCACTGATGGAAGAAAGCAAGCCAGCACCGAAGACTCTCAGCTGTCCATCTTGTTTGCACAGACCAAACTCCACAGTGAAAAAGTAGCACTGTAAAAGGATGTCAACATTATGTTTACATCCTGAGCACCTCAATCTAAAGCAAATTCCAGTTCTCAGACACTGTCCCACAGCACACACAGAAACAAGCACAACACTTCCAGCCTAGATCCCAAGTCCCGCCACAATCTGGCCTGTTGTGCATCAGGACTTTCTAAACCTGATGTGAAGACTCTCATATACAGTTAAAAATTACCAAGGACTCCAGAGATCTCTCTGTGTGTATGTGTTACCCCTAGCTATATTGGCCATATTAAAGTTAAAACCAAGAATCAATTTAGGTGCTTAAAAATCAGTTTTAAATACAGTAAGCCCATTGTATAATAATGTAAGCAACACTTTAATGAAAGTATGTTTTACAAAACAAAAAGTAACAAGAGTAGCATTGTTTTATAATTGTTATTCACCTTTTCAACTTATTTTGATTATTTTTTTATGTGTATGTGTGTATGTGAGCACCTACAAAGGCCAGAAGATGGCATGGGATCCCCTGGAGCTAGAGTTACAGGAAGTTGTTAGATGCCTAATGAGGGTGCTGGGAAATAAAACTCAAGTCCTCTGGAAGAGCAGGAAGAATACTCCCAACTATGTAGCCATCATTTTTTAACTTTAATTTCTTTTACATTTGTGTGTGTGCGTGTATGTATGTGTGTGTGCGTGTGCGCGCACACATGCCTGTGAAGGTCAGAAGACATTTTGTGGGAAGCTTCTTTCCTTTTACCATGGAATGGAACTCAAGTCGTCAGGCTTGGTGACACTGAGCCATGTCGCTGGCCCTGATTTTAATTTTTGACAAATACAATCCTATGGATTCACAGTGTGGAGTGACAGAGTCCGCTAACCCCACACTGTTCACATCTTGTCCATGTCTGGCTAGACAGTATTTAATGTCTGATGGGAAGGCAGATGGACTACCATATCTGCTTTTGTATTTAATCTTTTGCAATATGTTGTTTTGGTTCAAGTATATGAAGAAAGCCCAACTTCACACAGTTATGTAGTTAGAAAAGGTCTGGGTATTTGATTCTCTTCTTCAGAGAAATGTGCATATTCTTTAAACTACCTCACTCAGCATATGGCAGTTGCTTAAAGTTCAGACTCAATGTGGCATCTGAGCCCTGTCTGTCACATTAAAAATACACTTGTGTCTTTTGCTTATGAATGATTTTGTCCTGAAGGACTCAACAAAAGGCCTCAGGGACCCCTAACATCCCCAAACCATAACTTCATAGCCAGTTAGCCTATTCCACATCCCTCCCCCACCCTCAGCTGTTTCCAAGTGGTACCAAGTCCCTTCTCATCTGTCTTGTGCCTCATCCTAAAATGTCCTTCCTTCCTTCCCTAGTTCATAAGACATCACTCATTTTCTAATCTAAAAATTAGTATATTAAAGCAATCTTGTGCTTCTCTGTCTTGTTTTAAAGTTGTGTTTCTTTTTGAGAAATCTTAAATTTTTAAATCTTCATTTAACATTATTTAAATTCATAAACAAATAAGCAAAACCAAATTTTCTAATGGCTGTCTTATGCATAGACTTCAAACTACCCACATACTCCTAACCACACCCAATGGAGAATCCTGGACTATACAGCTGTTTCCAGATGTATACCGTTGCCAGTTTTTGGACAGTCTCCTCTGAAGCTCCAAGGGAAGCCAGGCCAATTTCTTGGGAGAATTGAGCAAAACTGGGTTCAGCCAAGAGAGGAACATGACCTAAGAGTTCATGGCAGGTATCTCTGAAACAGAGACACAGTCTGTCACTCTGTGATGCTTGACACAAATGCATAAAGAACTGTTGAATCCCATTGAAAGTCAACCTTGTTTTCACTCTAGTTGATCCTGAGTAATGGATCATAAAGGAAATTAACTGAATAAAGAAATGCCATTGGCTCCAGATCTCATCCCCTCAACACACATCCACTGATATCCCAAGTCCTCCACCCAAATCAAGTCTCTACTCCCATGTTTCCTCAACAAGACACTCTCTGATCAAACTTCCCAAAACAACACCTATATACATGCCTGTATTCTTTCTTTCCTGGTTTTATTTTCCCCCATGGCACACACCATCATCTAACATGATACAGACTACATTTACTTATTTATCATCAGTAGATTCCCTTGAAATACAAACTTTATGAAGACAATAATTTTATCTGATTTTTACATCCCTTGTGCACCGAACTGCACCTGGCACCTAACAAGTTGCCAATTAACACAACAACAACAGCTGGTTGTGTATGCTTTAATGCCAGTCACTACTCTAAAGGCTTCACTGAACACTTACAAGATGTTTTGTGAAGTGGTACTGGCACTATAAGTAACGATTGGATGAATGAACGACTTAAGTACTTACGGCTCTGGAGTATAGAGGGGGTCTGAACTGTGTCTCACATACTGAGTGCAGTGAAAGACTCGGAAGGCTAACCCTGACAGGAAATCTCTTGGTGAGAGGTAACCAGCCACAGGACGGATAGAAAACCCCGTACATGCTGCAAAGCAAAGGAGAAAACAGACAACTTTCACCTCAGACACGGAGCACTGACACTGGCCAGTGGCGCCAGGGAACCCTTTCAAGGGGATGTGGAAACGAAAGTGCAGCTTTATGCAAACTGCAGCAAGCTGAGCATTATTAGGCATGTCCCACGGCCGGGGGGGGGGGGCGATCCTTTGACACACAACATCTCCTTTCATGTTAACAAAGGGTTTTCCTCTTTATTGTAACAGCTATAAAACACCGAACAATGTGCTCAGGACTCCAGGAGAAGGTAAAAGTGAAATACGAACTCGGGAGGCCCTAGATTACACTTGGCACCCTTCTTCAAACATGGGGAGCAGTCTAACTCCTACACACTGACAGTGGACATGTAAACTGGTGCAGTCATTGTGGAAGCTTCTCAAAAGAAAAAAAAACAACTAAAAATAGAACTGCCTTATGACCCAGGCAGACTACTCCTGGGCATATTCCCAAAGGGCTCTAAGTCAGCACACCACAGAGATACGTGTGCATCCATGTTTTTTGCTGCACTAGTCACAGTAACCAAGAAATGGAGTCAGCCTAGATGTCAGTCAGCAGTACATATACACAGTGGGATTGCATCTCATCATAAAGAAAAAATGACATCATAACATTTGCAGGAAATGGGTGTAACTGGAGATCATTGTAGTAAGAGAAATAAGCCAGGCTCAGAAAAACAAATACTGAATGTTTTCTCTTATATGTGGAAGCTAGATTGAAATCCCTGTGTGTCTGTATATCTGTGTGTGTGTGTGTGTGTGTGTGTGTGTGTGTGTGTGTGTGTGTATGTGTGTCTGTTTGTAGGTCATGAAACAAAGAGGAATATGAAGGGGGAGAAGGGATCTTGGGGAGCGGGTAGCAGGGGGAGAAAGTATAAAGGAATGCATGTGACATGAAAGAAGAAGACACACTGTTTAGGAGAAGAAAGGGGCAGTCGAGTGGCTCTGACATGTAAGTAAAAAACACCATCATGAAGTCTATTACTTTTATGGTACTTTAGAAATTAATTTTAAAAGTATTTTTTATTACAGCCATTTTTAATCCAAGCTATTTTTAGGCATGATTATCTTCTTTAGCTATTTTTATTTCAGATAACCTGGATGGTTCTATTCCACCCAAATGCCAAGATTGTCTTCCGTGTACTAGGAAAGGGCTACTGGGTTTCAGTAGCTCAAGGGATCATTGTGCGCTGTCTTGTGCCTCGCCCTAAATCCTCACAACACGTTTCAGTTCCATCTGTACTCTGTAAGTTTGTCCCCACTCTGATAGGCAGAAGGCCATCTAACAGAGTCTTCTCCATTTCTTGATGGAAATGCTCCCTACTGTGCTGCCCAATGGGACAACAGCCATCTGTCACTTCTGAGCAAATACGTGGCTGGTAATGGCCAAGACCCTAATATTTTGATCAAGTACATTTTAATTGTTTACAATGTAAAAAGCAACATGTATACAGTGGCCACCATGTTTGACAGTATTGGTATCCTTATCTGACATTTCATGTGAAATGTCCGCTAATTTTGGTTTTTCCTTTTGACAATTGCCCTTGACCCAGTAGAATGGTGAGCCCAGCTCCAGACCTCAAGGGAACAGCTCTCAGTTTTAGATCCACAAAATGTTGCCTGCAAGCCTGATTGAACAATGCCTGTGACACATACTCATGGAGCTGTGTGAGTCCAGGGAGGACACCTGCACTGTTTCTGTACCATGTTTTGAAAGCTTAGGTTTTCATCGGAAACACATACATTATTTCTGTCCTCATGAAATGATGCCATGTTTTCCTGTTAGTTCCTTTAGTTTTTAAATAAGGAGAATTAAGGGGTCAAATAAATAGGAAGATATTTGTTAACTATCTATGTAAGAAACTCAGACAACACTTTATGCCAGAGGGGGAAAACATTAACAATATGAACCAAAAACATGACTTCTGGGCTGGGAGTGCAGCTCCTACCCAGTGTCCCCGAGACCCTATACTGAGTCCCCACAACTGCAAAGCAGCACTGCTCACCACAGTCTCTGATTTGCTGAGACAGAGGGAGATACTGATTTCTCTTAAGCGCAGAAGAGTCTGCATCACGATCAGTGATCATTTTACCCTCTACGTCAGCTAGAAAAATTAAAGAGGCCTGAATCAAACAAGACTGTTCTTACCTTTTGCTTATTCTTCTAGCTTTACACACTTAGTGTTGCAAAAATCATAGAATCTTAGTGTGGAAAAAGGCTTAAGAAATCCCTCAGCCACCAGAGACTCCCCCTAGCAGCAGAGACCACCCAACATCAGAGATCACCCAGCATCAGATATCCCCAGAATCAGAGACCACCCAACATCAGAGATCATCCAGCATCAGTGACCACCCAACTTCAGAGACTACCCAACATCAGAGACCACCCAGCATCAGAGACCACCCAGCATCAGAGACCACCCAGCATCAGAGATGCTCTAGCATCAGAGACCACCCAGCATCAGAGACCACCCAGCATCAGAGATGCCCTAGCATCAGAGACCACCCAGCATCAGAGACTACCCAGCATCAGAGACCACCCAGTATCAGAGCCCACCCAACATCAGTGACCATTCAACACCAGAGACCACCCAACATGAGAGACCACTTAACATCAGAGACCATTCAGCATCAGAGACCACCCAGCATCAGAGACCACCCAGCATCAGAGATGCCCTAGCATCAGAGACCACCCAGCATCAGAGACTACCCAGCATCAGAGACCACCCAGTATCAGAGCCCACCCAACATCAGTGACTATTCAACACCAGAGACCACCCAACATGAGAGACCACCTAGCATCAGAGACCACCCAGCATCAGAGACCACCCAGCATCAGAGAACATTCAGCATTAGAGACCACCCAGCATCAGAGACTGCACAGATGCTCTCATCTCCTCTACACATCCTTGAAGGCAGGTGCAGAGGTCTGGTACAGACAACCTCCTTGATGAGATCTAACCACTTTACAAACATGGTTTCACATGGCTCTTCTAATAACGTCTCCTTTTTATTTAAAAGTCATATAGTAATTTATCTATCCTATAAAACAGATTCTGATTTGTCAAGTGTTTCAACATTTAATGAACATCCCCTACATCTCCAAGTTAACACCCAAAATGTCCTACAGATTTTACCCATGTGACACATTTTCAAATTCCTTTGCAATTATCCTTACTTTGTCAGGCCCTAAGCTATGAGGACTCTTTCCAGTGTGGTGCCCAGTCCTGGATCCAATACTCCAGGATGAGTTTAGGAGACTCTGGACCTTCCACGTAACTAGACTTCATCCCTCCACAAACAACACTGTCACAGTTGAAGCAGATCAACACCCTCTGTATAGAGCTCTGTTGGCATATTACCTTTTAAAAAGTTAGAGACATCCTCCAGTTGCGGGATGTTGTCTTCCCGATAGCCACAGTGTTTCGAGAGCAGAGGAAGGTTTCTGAGGTACTCCCTGCAGGCATGGGTTGGGTAGAGTTTGTTCAGCTCTCGGAAGATGGTTCCCCAGGTCTTAATCTCTTCTTCTGTGAATTCAATCTTGGGAATGGGGTCCCCACTAATGAGATCAACATGAGGAATTCTGCATTGTAGTTAGGTAGTTACACTTACGTGACTTTCTATTTACTAAGCAAACACACTTATTCCATTATTTTGTTATCTCAAAGTTAGATATGTTGGCTTGTAATATACTTACTGTTTGTAGTTCATAGCCAACTCTGCAAAATACTTCCGTCTTCTACGGTAGACATTGTCTTTGAAGCCCTGATAATTAAAAGTAATTAAATATTGAAACTAAAAATATTTGAAAGTGACATCTAGGAAACACTTCACTATTTTGTCTGGAGATATTGAAGAACTACATAATTGTTACCACAAACAAGCAATGATTAGAGATATGTGGCCATTTTTATTTTGAAGTCAGCAGTTACATCCCAGCTTTATCATCTCGTAGATAGAAACAGAAATGATATTTTTTAATAAGATCCTACAGTGACTACAAAGGCTGACTAGAGAACTCCATCCTAGTTAAGCACATAGCTCTTATCTTGTTTTGTTTTCCTTAATCACTTCACTGTATCTTCAGTTATGTTTACCTATGGTAGAAATCAGTAATAAAAAGACTGAGGTGTAATTCAGCAATAGAGTGTCTGCCTAGAACACTTGCGACCCAGTACGGCAAATAATACTAAATTAGAAGTTAATACTTAAAATAGTGACTTGACTGAACTAAACTTCCCAGCACTGATCTGCAAGTTGTGTCTGTCGTGTGGAGAGAGCCAGGTGAAGGACAGAGGGGGCACAAGAACTTGCTCAGAGAAGGAAAACATGTTCAGGATACAAAAATGCAAGCCGCACCATGCTTCTGGCACTTGCACAGTGCGCAGATAGTGTTGAAGACTAGCTCAGGGCCTGTAGGTTGCAGGTCCCCTAAGGAGCTTGGATTTTGACCTCAGGGCTGTATTGGTGCTCTCTCAGACTAACAGCTACACTGAGATACAGCCCATATGCCACGAGACAGCCATTCATAGGAACTAGCAACCATGATCATAGTTTTTGCTTGTTTTTGATTTTGAGACGACATCTCACTGTGTTGCCCCGGGTAACCTTGAAACTTGTAATCCTGCCACCTCAGGCTTGCAAGTGGCCAAGACAACAGGCACCTGTCACTGTGCCCTGCGATCATCCTTACTCTCTAATTCATGAGCGTGTTCAGGGTGGTATGGTCATACACTGTACTGTCTGATGTCAGAAAAATTGTGTCACCCCAAAAAGAAACATCATACTAGCTATCTGTTCCTCATTCCCCCCCCACATTCATGCAGCTTAGAAAACAGGAGGTGCTAAAGTGAAGACCAGATCTGTGAGACTCCACAACTGGATTCTCTCCTCTCCTTCCCTCCCAAGAACCTAGAGATTCAAACACAAGCCCAATGCTGTGGATCCCAACTCCTGAGCTCATGGCTGTACTGTAAAATTCTCCAAGGAGCCGGGCGGTGGTGGCGCACGCCTTTAATCCCAGCACTCGGGAGGCAGAGCCAGGCGGATCTCTGTGAGTTCGAGGCCAGCCTGGTCTCCAAAGCGAGTTCCAGGAAAGGCGCAAAGCTACACAGAGAAACCCTGTCTCGAAAAACCAAAAAAAAAAAAAAAAATTCTCCAAGGAATCTACTTCTCGGATCATCAAGTGCCTAATCAGCCAATCAAACAGGGCAGCATGGTGGTAGGGGTTTTTTTGGACCCACCTTTATTGCCATTTCAAACACCCAAGCCTATTTTAGTAGGAACTGACTACAGACACACTCAGCTCTGGGGATATCTTAATAATGGGAATGCCAGGAGCAGGGCAGATCTCCAAGCCAGTGAAGCTGGATACTTTCCTGTCTGCTGACTCAGTTCTACCTCTGTGGAGGACTGCTGCTGATACCTGAAATCCTAATTCCAACAAATTCTATTTAGTTTATAAAAAGTCTTTTCCCACAATCAAGTTGCCCTTACTGTTCGGGGGTGTGGGGGAGGAACAAAACAGAGCAATGGGAGTAAATACAGTCAAAGAGTCTTATATATGTAGGAAATATCACAATAAAACTAAGTACTTTGGATAATTAATATATGCTATTAACATGTCTGGAAAAATAGTAGTTGCCCCTAGATCCTAGGGAGATGACTGGACAGTTAAGAGCACTGGCTGTTTTTGAGGATCCAGGGTATGTTTCCCAGCATCCACATGGTGTCTCACAACCATGCACAACTCAAGTTCCAGGGGATTTAATGCCCTCTTCTGGCTTCTAGGGACACTTCTGGCACATACATAAATGCAGGGAAAAACAGCATACACATATAATTAAAATAAATAAATTCTTTCTAAAAGTTTTTAAATTGCCCTTAATATTTAGTTTGCCTTAAAGTATTTTCACTAGACTATTTTTTTAAAAAATATTTACAGGATGGTCCGCGTCGAGTTCAGATCCGTACATCAGCACTCTGTTGGCACAGAAGTCCAGGTCAGAAATCTTCTTTGGAAACCAAGGAACAGTCTCCATAACTGCAAAATAAAACCCCAAAGCCACTGAGGGTTGAGGAGACATAGTTAACCAAAGAGAAATTCAGAAACCAGTGCAGTTGGATGAGACGAAAACTTGTATATGGAAGGAAAAGGAATATGACTTGAGTGAATCGCTCTACTTCGAGGAATTATATTTTAATTAAAATCATTAGCTTTACTTCCTAAAAAAATTTAATATTCAGGTTGATTTCCCAAGTGCTAAAGCTTACCATTCTTAAGTAACAAACCCAATGTTTAAATGTTTTAAGTCACACGCATAATTATCCTGTGAAGGCAAACTAGGACAGTGCAGCTCCACAGACCAGCACGCAGTCCAGGAAAGGCTTTCAATACCTGTGTTTGTTTGAGGTAGGGTATCATATCTCAATATCTAATTTCTAGATTAAAAAATATTTGCAAGAGGTAGTGGCACATGCCTTTAATCCCAGCACTCTGGAGCCAGAGGCAGATGAATTTCTGTGAGTTTGAGGCCAGCCTGGTCTACAGAATAAGTTACAGGACAGCCAGGGCTACACGAAGAAACCCTGTCTTGAAAACATTTTTATTTTATTATTTTTAATTCAGTGTGTGTGTGTGTGTGTGTGTGTGTGTGTGTGTGTGTGTGTGTGTGTGTGCGTGTGTGTATGTGTGATCTGACCTGAGTTGGTGTGCATTAAATATTAAAGGTGCCATGTAGCATTCTAGAAAACTCTTCACTGTGTAGTAGGTGAGGTAGGCAAATTGCAGACGCCAAGGCAGTCTACCCAAGGTAAGCGTTGCCAGTGAGAGGGGAGGCCTGGAGCGCAGCCTTCCTGCCCTGTGCCTTGTCCTCTGTGTTTCAAGGAGAGCACCCAGGGACTCGGGGACGTTGTTCCCTGCCAGCCAGAAACGGAGGTGAGTCCACAACTTAACAATGCCATGAAGGCCTGGCAGATGAATAGCAGGCCTGGCCACACCCCAAATATTGTGATGTAATTCAAAGGGACTCCACTGAGTATAAAGTAACTAAATGAATGTCTTTTGTCTTAACTAAATTCCAAGGTTTTCTTGTCAGAAACGGAGACCTTAGCCTCAGTCTTTTCCATCTGAGTATCTGAAATCTTGGAAGGCTTTATATCACCTGAGCAGTTGTTTTTGGTGGGAATATGGTATATAACAGGTTTTAGATTACAGATACCAAACACTGCCAACGTTTTCTCCAAATTCAAATATCTGTTTAATATCTGTCTGACACTAACTAAGCCCCCAAAGGTCTATGAAGAACGAGGGGAGGGGAGATCAGGGTTGTGGAACCGGGAAGTGATTGAGGAGCTAAGAGAGGGCATTGACCTCTGACCCACCCTTTCTCATGCTCAAGGCTTCTTTTACTCCTCCACCCTCCATCAAATGCTGCCACGTAATTTTCCCTGGAATTCTGATCAGTTGCTGTTTATCTCCCCTTCACTACCGCACTATGAAGATTTTAAAAAGACAGAGTTTTCTTTTTATCTCCTCGTCCTCAAGACGAAGACGAGGCTGGACACACATTAGGTGCTTGCTCTTGGAGGTGGGGCTTTGCCTTCTCAGACATACCGTCTTCCTTCACAGTGAGCTGATCGGGGGAGTCCACAGAGAGGATAGTGGTGTAGGACTTCAGCAGGGGAAAGATGTCATTCAGCTGTTCTCTGTTGATGTCGCAGTCAACAAAAATCTCGAACTCTGAATTTCTTCGGTTTGATTTCCGGGACTCGATATGTAACAGGTTCACGTGGTTCTCCTGTGTGAAGCAGAGGGTAAAGATTGAGTGGACCCGCTTTGGATGCTAATAATCTTTGAGAAGAGTACTTTCATTAGCACCGAAAAAAACAATTTAACACTTGTCAGAATTAGCTCAAAGGGCGGAAGAAGGTGTTTTTAATGCTGCTAATGGCAAAATAATTCCCTCCTGCAATATGTAGGATTAAATGAAAGTGTGAAAACTCATCATAAGTGACAACTATAGGAGGTCCTCCAATCAGTCAGGGTTGGTTAGAATTCAGATGATGGTGCATGCCTATAGTTCCAACACTTGAGAAGCAGAAGAACCCTGAGTGCAAGGTCTTCCTCTGCTACATAGTGATTTTGAGGCCACCCTGGCTCTACATAGTCTCTCTCTCTCTCTCTCTCTCTCTCTCTCTCTCTCTCTCTCTCTCTCTCTGTGTGTGTGTATGTGTGTGTGTGTGTGTGTGTGTGTGTGTGTGTGTGTGTTCAGTCAGAGCTAAGTACTGAACCCAGGACCTTGTACATTCTACACTCTACTAATAAGCTAAATTCCTAGCTTCCATAGCCCCTTTCTCAAAAAAACTAAAACATGGTCAACAATATGGCTCAATGAGTCAGTGTGTTTGTCACCAAGTCTGAGGACCTGAGTTCAAATCCTGGACCCCACAAGGTGGAAGGAGAGAACTGACTCCTGCACACCAACCTCTACAGACACACAGACACACAGACACACACACACACACACACACACACACACACACACACACACACACACACATAGAATAAACATTTAATAATAAATAATTTTTTAAAAAAAATCTCAAACACCAAATTGCTGGGATAAAAGAATCCTGGAGAAATTTTTTTCAGAAGGTGATGTTATTGTTACTAGAAAAATTTCATGTATTAAAATATCAAAATGATATGAATAGCCATGGTAACCAGTTTAAGCAGACTGCTTCTTTTCATCCATGTTAGTCTGAGATCTGGGTACCACATTGCAAACTTCAGTGGGGAGAGCATTTGAACATTTGAGGAAAAGCACTTCAGACCGAAAAGCCAAACATGGGGACCAATCACCAAATGATTTTTTAATCTGAAAACATATGAGAGACTCAGAGCAGATGACCTATACTATTCCCTACATCCAAACATAACTTCACAAACACCCACGCAGCCAGGTACGGAGCATGATGGTCATGAAGAACGGCAGTATGCACACGGGATCTTGAGTCTAGTCGGGGAAAAGGAGGAAACACAAGCAGCAGGTTTGGGTGAATGGATGCTCATTGGAGAGACAAAGCATAAACCCAGGAGAGCAGAAGGTGCCACAGTGCACCTGAGGACTGAACAGATGCTCATCGGAGAGACAAAGCATGAACCCAGGAGAAGAGAAGGTGCCACAGTGCACCTGAGGACCAACCGGAAATGAGGAAGGCAGAAAGGAAGGGCAGGCCAAGCTGAGAGACCATGTGCAGCTGGGGAGAAGACTCCGCGGAGAAAGGACTTGTCATGCTCTACACCCAGGCTACCGAGAAATGAAACGACACTGAAGAGTGAGCAGGGCATGGTGGCTTACCTCTGCAGTCACAGCACTTGGGAGGCTGAGCGAGTTCCAGGCCAGTCTGAACTACAGAGCGAGACCCTGTCTACATAAAATAAATAAGTAAAGACACAGATTTGGAGCAAGGAGAGATAGAGCAGAAGATTGATACTTTCTTTATAAGTTTATAGAATGTCTTGACTTTTTAAACCACATCCAGAAACTCTAACAATAAATAAAAATGAGAAGTGATGGTAGAAGAAATAAAGGTATATACTCCAGAGGTCCAGAGATAATCAATACAATAAAAATAATAATATAAGCCAGGCTTGCTGGTATAGGCCTGCAATCCTAGCTACTTGGGAGGCTGAGGCAGGGGGATCATGGGTTTGGGGGCAGCCTGGATAAGTTAGTCAGACTTTCTCAATAAGTAAACAGAGCTGAGGACACCCCTGAGTGACAGAGCCTGTGGCCAGCATGCGCAAAAGCCCTCGGTTTAACTCCTAGTATGTCAATAATTAATAATAATAATAATAATAATAATAATAATAATAATAATAATAATAGTGTAGTATTAAATTTGGGGCGGAAGGGGTAAAGGAAGAAAGGGAGATGGTATCAATATCATTGTTCACATTGAGAACAAATTAACTCACAGTGCCAGGAGGGAACGATAGCAAAGTTTGTATTTTATAACTCATCACCAAAGAGGAAAGGGAGAGAAACAGGTTGAGGAGCTGCTGAAGCTCTGCCATGCGGTAGGAGCCCTGCTCTCAGGCTCTCAGGCTCTTCTAGAGCAGTGTCTGCATTTAAATGTTTAGTCTCTGAATGGCTAAATAATATGTCACGGAGAGACAAACCTGCTCTATAATCATAGCCAGCATTTATTGACCATTTACTTTGTACGACCTCAAGCACTTTGAACAGTTTAACTATTAATTCTTAACGACATGAGGTAGGCAAGGTTCTCTCTTATTTTATTGAGACACGCAGAGAGACTAACTCCCAATGCCCATCCAGCTAATGAGGGCTTTGTACACACACAGTCTGCTTCTAGAACATGCCCAGCCATGTGGTGTGCAAGCACCATAGCATAGCCTGTTCACACAGTTGGTTAGAAATCAGTGTTTGTGTTCCTGGGTCCTTAAAGCAGGTTAGAGCCTCCAGTTCCGTGATGTCACCACACCCAGTGTCTCTCTTTACTTTGCACATGTATGTGTGTGTCATGAACTCACTAAACTGTTTGTGAGTGTCTGCCTCCTTTTCCAGACCACACTGTCTGTGAAGAAAGGCACCATGTCTAGTTTTTTCAGATCCATATGCTTAGTGTAGAGTCCAGGACCCTGCACATAGTAAGTGCTCGATAAACATCTGTGCTCTGCCTGATGCACCCGTATTTCACCAGGAGAAGTGGAGGAGAGGGTTTCAGTGGGTGAAGTGCCTGCTGCATGAGCATAGGTTTGAATCCCCAGCAACCACGTCAGCAGCGTGGTGCAGTCACTTGCCAGTAACCCCACACTGCGGGGTGAGAGCCAGGGGAATCTCCGGGGTTTGCTGGCTGCCAGCCTGGATTCAGGCCCAATGAGAGACCCTGTCTTAAAGGAATAAGGCATAGAATGACAGAGAACGGCACCTGACATCCTCCACTGGCCTCTGCACATGTACATATAACACACACACACACACACACACACACACACACACACACACACACACACACAGTAAATAAAAATAAAAACTTTAAATAGGAACATGTTAAGGCTCATAAGTGCACATTAGCAGATTTGAGGACCATGGGCTCTGAGGCTCTGACAGTGCATAATTTCAGAATCCTTACTACTTTGTCACCTGAAGATATTTAATATATCTTTAAATAATACCAGCATTGCATGGTTAGGCATTTCATTAAGTGTAAAACACTTTATTTAGTTGCAATCTCTCAAACGTATGCAGTGACTCCTCCCCTAATACCCTCCATAGCTACTTGTCTATTCTTTCCTAGGCTGTTGTATTTCTTGCCCATTTCTCAGAACTGAACAATATTGTATCTATTTTGTGTATGTGCTCCTGAGTGTTGTGCATCACAGGTGTGCAGCACCCAGAAGAAGACATCAGATCCCCTGTAACTAGACAGAGATAGCTGTGAGCTGTCTGGTGTGGGTGCTGGGAACGGAACCCGTGTCTTCCACAAGGACAGCAAGTATTTTTAGCTGCTGAGCTGTGTCTCCACTCCCTGAACAACACTTTAGTAAGTTGTTAAAAGACTTCTGAAGGCCGTCTCCGAGGAACTGACAGTACCTTACATTTTAAATAGAATTTCAGAGACTCGTTTTCAGATGGGCTTTATGGGAAATCCATACCTGGAAGATTTTCAGTGCTTTTATGAGTCCTCCAACTTCATTCTTTAAGGAAAAAATGAGGGTCACTCTCCCCCTTTCTGAAGAATGCTCTTTGTTCTCCTTGTCTTCAATCATGGCGAATCTGAATTAGGAAAGCTCAGATGAGTACTAAGCAGAGAGCTGGGCAGCAGGGGCAGCAGCGATAACTTCATCCACCACCCTGCTTACATTCCTTCATCTGCAAAACCCACATGTCTGGCAGGCTTTTCGAGGGGGCAGTGGGGCCAGAAGGTGAGACACCCCTAACATAGTGCCCAGAATGGCAAGGGCACCTGCTGTGTCTCAGAATCTTCCCTTTTCTCCTTTCTGACCATTGAGGGCACTGATCATGCCTTCCAGGCTCTGGCGGTCTCCCTGGTTATTTCAGCCCCAAACTGAGTCCTCTGTGAAGGTCTACCTCATCTCCCATCAGAATCTGGGGAGCTTCCCCGCACGCTTCATCCATTCAGAGCGGGGTCCAGGCCTTCTGTTATATTTGTAAACTCAACTAGAGCCTCGAGAGACTGACATACCTATGATCACACAGCTGCAGGGGGTGAGGACACGCGGTTACACGGGGTCTTTGACAGCTCACATCCTTTGACTGTCCTGAACACTTTTGCCTGACCTGGTGAAATCAGGTCCCTGTGCTGACAGTCACATTCCTATCCACTGGTAATGCTGCCTGTTGATCTGCCTAGCCCAATAGTACTCATTCAGCAATCTTCTTCTTCTTCTTCTTCTTCTTCTTCTTCTTCTTCTTCTTCTTCTTCTTCTTCTTCTTCTTCTTCTTCTTCTTCTTCTTCTCCTTCTCCTTCTCCTTCTCCTTCTCCTTCTCCTTCTCCTCCTTCTCCTTCTTCTTCTCCTCCTCCTCCTCCTCCTCCTCCTCCTTCTTCTTCTTCTCCTTTGGTTTTTCGAGACAGGGTTTCTCTGTGTTGTTTAAGAGCCTTCCCTGGAACTCACTCTGTAGACCAGGCTGTCCTTGAACTCACAGAGATCCGCCTGCCTCTGCCTCCCGAGTGCTGGAATTAAAGGTGTGTGCCACCGCCGCCCAGCTCTTCATTCAGCAATCTTAAAGCCCTTGTAAGAACCTCAAAGTTTTCTCTGGTATTTCTTCCCCCCTTTAGCCTTCTATTCCCCCTTTTAGCCCCTTTGCAGCCAGGTAAAATAAAAGGGAGGGCCACCCTCAAAGATTTACCTTCAAAGGCAGGAGATCACCCTGAAAGGGAAGGAGTCACTTTCAAAGGCAGGGAGGGATCCTGCTTGTCCAAATGAAGATGTCCCAGTGTGCAGGACCCCGCACTGGAAATAAGACCTGCCAAGCAGGAGGTCAGCTGACCAGTAGCCTTGGTAGAGCACAGTGAAGGGAGCGTGAGCGTGAAGGGAGCATGAGCACACTGACTCTTTGTTTCCTTAGCTTCATCCCCAGTAAGTGAAACTTCCAATTCTCTCATCTTGGAAGCACAGCTGAGGCTTTCCAAAGTGTGGGCAGTTTGAAGGTACAAGGAGGAGAATCCCTAGGGATCTGGACTTTCTTTTCCAGATGGGAAGTGGGAAAGAAGTGGAGACGAAATACAGACAAAAAGGATCGAGCAAGCACCCAGGAGGTAAAGGAACCCTCCAGAAAGGCAAGGCAGAGGCTGCCTCCGTCCCAGATGATCAGAACGATCTAGGGCAGTAGCTACAACCCATGGACAGGTGAACACCAGTGACTGAGGATGTGGCCCTGGAACACTTAGTTAGAATCCTACCCTTGACAGCCCACAGGCACATCTGGAGCTTGTCTCCTCCACTTCCACTCCAAGATGGCTAGGGTGCAACATCAAAGGGGTCCACTTTAAACCTCTGAAAATACGGTTACATTTAATCATGGTTAAGTTTACCCAGACTATAAACTAGCTCTGCATCTCAAGGACCCATGCCTCTGTCAGTTGTGACCTGGGATGGAGTACAGAGTGCAGATGTGGTGCTGAGAAGCCTAGCATCCGAGACTCGCCTTCCTTTAGTGGAGTGCAAGGGAGGGTTCCCTTTGTAGAGAGAGAAGGAAAAAAAGATGTTACCCTTGAATGGAAAAGAAAGATTAATGTGTTTGTTTCTGCTGGCAAGGAGTCACACCGTCTTGGGTTCCCACTCGGAACCCCCGGATCCATCTTTATCTATAAAATATAAGATTATCCACCTCACAGGGTTCCCTATAAAGCCTAAAAGAAAAATCTGCTCCTGGCACATAGGAGGTCCTCAAGAATAGGGTCTGCTGTCCGCGAAGAAGCTGTAAGGAAGGAAGAGGAGAGCCCACACAGGACTTCCACCTGCCTCCTACTGGACGTCGGTCCTGTCCCTGCCGGGAGACTGCAGTCCCAGGAAGGGGCCACCCCACTCTCCCACGCACCCACGCACCCACTCACCCACTCACCTCAGAAGCACCAGAGTTCAGAGAATCACCTGCAGACCAGAGGGGCCGCCTCTTATGAGAGAAGCGCTCGGTCTGAGCAGCCAATGGGCGCCGGGCGCACGGGGCGGCGGCTAATGAGGATGGAGCAGTGCGGATGTGGGCGGGCGCTGCGCTGGTGCGGGCGGGAGCAGCCACTGACCTCTCGTCGCTGGCCGCAGCTCATTCACAGCTATTTTCCTGGAGTTTTAATTAAGCTAATGTTGACTCATCCTCAGCCACAAAAGTCTGAGTAAGATTAAACAATCCGTTTAGAACTTCCCTCCAAGCCAGCATCACACCTGTTATTGACACAATGACCTCCCGCGGGGTTGGACTCAGGCTCCAGGATTAGAAACCAAAGCAGGACTCCCGTGTCAGGCCTATTCCTGAGCTTCTGGGTTAATACCCTGGGCCTGCCTCATCTTCCTCCTAATGTAGAGTCTTATTCCTTTAACGCAGAACAACCACTGAACTTTTTAGAAGTGCTCAGTACTCCTGCCATTAAAAAGAAGTTTAGGATGCACGCAGATAAAGATGCTGTGTTTACTGAAATATCACTCTCCCTGCTATACGAACGTGGCACAGAATCCAAATAGCATTTATTTGTTGATGATCCTGTACTAAAGGGGCAAACCTGTCCCTCTGCATCCTGGGGGACTGTTCCCAGTACGCTTACAGACCCCAGTGTCTTGGGGGTGGGGGGGAGGGATGCTCCCAGTCTTTTTCTTTTTTTTTTTTTTTTTTTTGGTTTTTCGAGACAGGGTTTCTCTGTGTAGCTTTGCGCCTTTCCTGGAACTCACTTTGGAGACCAGGCTGGCCTCGAACTCACAGAGATCCTCCTGGCTCTGCCTCCCGAGTGCTGGGATTAAAGGCGTGCACCACCACCGCCCGGCGCTCCCAGTCTTATAAGGAATGTAGTATGGCATGCATATATTCTGTAGGCTTTAATCATCTTTAGGTTATTTACGGTACCCAATGCAATTTTACTGCTGTGTAAATATAATAGTGTTGCATTGACTAATGACAAGGAAGAAAGTCTGCAGAAGCAACCCCAAGCCTCCCCACCCAGCTACCTCTTTCAACACAGGGTAAGAGGTTGAATCAGCAGATGTGTGACGCTCAGATGAGGAGGGCCAGCGGTATATGCCACACTTAGTATTATGGGGTATTCTCTTCCCCAGTTTTTTGGAACTCAGGTTAAATGGTCAACGTGTAAACTAAGCACAGAAATATCCACTCTTTTGAGGTGAGGGTCTTTTTGAGACAAGGTCTGACGCTGTATCTGAGGCTGGCCTGGAACTCCCACATAGCTCAAGCTGGCCTAGAACTCTGGCAATGCTCCTGCCTCTCCTTCTCAAGTGCTGAGATTACAAGCATAAACTACCATGTATGGTTGAATATTCACTTTTTTGAGGTGTACAGTTCTGAGTCTTGACAAATTGTACTTAACCACCAAACAATCATAGACTATTTTCACCTCCAAAAAGTATTTGCTTGTCTTAATCTTCTCCCAACCTGCACCTATTTCCTAGAGGCAATCACTGATCTGATTCTGTCTCTATTATTTTACCTTCCCTGGAATGAGAAACACTGATCCCACAGAGTCTATAGGGTCTTTGTTCCAGGCACGTATCACAATGCTTTGAACCTCATGTTGCACATATGATCAGTTGCGTAGCTGAATATGCATGTATTGCAGAGAGCTGTGTGAGCGTTCAGGCAGGGTCTTTTCTGCTCTGTAGCCTAGACTGGCCTTGAACTCACACACAACCTTCCTGCCCCAGCCTTCCAACTGGGATTATGGGCGTCCCTCACCAGATCCAACCTGTCCAACCTCAAATTGCAGGGTGCCCACAATTTTAACCTCCTTTATAGCTTTTCCTTTTACCTATATAATGATTCTATGAGGTAAAAGTCGTATTTACATTGCAGATCGGGAAACTGAGGCACGTAGAGGCTCTACAGCTTCCTCCTGCACGGGTTAGTGAGAAGAACGAAGCACAAGCATTCCGACGTTAAGTCCAGTGTTCTTGCTCAATACCATGAAAAGAGGGGTCAGAGAGACCTGGAGCCAAGCTGAAGAGATGAAGCCAATCGCTTAGTGACCTTGTTCCTGGGGAAGTCCAGAGAACCAAGTGGACACTGGCCCTGAGGTGGAGAAGCCGACATTAGGTCACCTTGGTGAGCTCAGTAAAGCTGGAGTCTTCTCTGAGCCTCTCTGAGCAGGCCTCTAGGCATCTAGCCCCACCCCGCTTCTCTGCCATGTATCTTTAAAATTTTCTATTACATGTATTTAGCTCTCTCTCTGTCTCTGTCTCTGTCTCTCTCTCACACACACACCATACAAACCTGTACATACACAATGCATACACACAGATCATACATACCTCTACACACACATGCCACATGTACACACCATCATATCTCTCTCACACACACATACTTGTACATATGCATAAGTAAATAAATAAAATGAATTACAAATAAATGATAGAACCTATGTTTAAATAAAAGCAAATATGCTGGTCATGATGACACTGTAATCTTAGCATACTGAAGGCAGTAGCAGAAGATTGCAAGTTCAAGGCCAGCCTGGTCTCCACAATGAAAGCCTGCCTCAAAAGCAAATGCTTTTATCCCAGCACTTCTAAAGAGTGGATTCCAGATGTGGAAGGTCCACTTGCCTTCCAAAGTATTACACCAGCTTACATTCCCACTACAAGGGGTCTAGGGCCCCTCCACCCTTACCAGCAGTGGATTTCCTACATGCCTGGTCATGTGACCAGCAGAGGGGACTCACTATTCAGCAGCCCTTTGTAATCACTAGCTGAGCTCGATCTTAGACTCATGTTCACAGGTGCAGCTCCTTGGAAGCAGGTTGTTTCTTATCTTTTAAAAAATTGTCTAGCAGGGCGGTGGTGGCGCACGCCTTTAATCCCAGCACTCGGGAGGCAGAGGCAGGCGGATCTCTGTGAGTTTGAGGCCAGCCTGGGCTACAGAGTGAGTTCCAGGAAAGGCGCAAAGCTACACAGAGAAACCCTGTCTCAAATAACAACAACAACAACAACATCCAAACCAAACAAAACAAAACAAAACAAAACAAAACAAAAGCAAAATAAAATTGTCTAGAAGGGTTTTGCTGTCGCTTGAGCAGGTCTTTCACACTTCTGGACTCCTGGAGTCTCAGCCTCCTAAGCCCTGGAGTTAGGGGCTGTGCCCACTGAGTGACATACACATGGGCTCTTATGGATCTCAGTTGCCACCACCAAAACCTTCCACTTGTCTTTAAATTCACTTAAAGTCTCTTGTGCCTCACAATTTATTTTTCATTGTTTTTACAGCCAAGTGGTCTTCTGATTAGGCCACTGGTGGATGGCTGCTGCTTCCAGAGTTGCAATTGGGAAGCTGAAAAATACGGGAAGAGATTGGGATGATTGTGAGGGTAAGGGAGATCTTTAAAAATTGATGTTTCTTCAAGGTAAGATAGGCTGGAGATGGAACACTCCACCAAGAGAGGAGATGATGGAGGAGAGAAGCAGGGGGAGACTGCCCTCATCAGTTCTAATAGGTCCATTGGAAAGTCCCCTGGCTTCCCAGGTGTGTAAAGCAGATCACCTGAAACACACCTGGAGGACATCACAGCTCGTCAGGCAAGTGATACTGAGCAGCATCAAGATGATGGCCTGTGGGTAAGGCAGGGGCTGTGACAGAGAGGTGGAGAGAGGGGACTCAGAATAGAGCGTGTGTTAGAGCTGTCTGGAACACGTTCCATGGATCCACAGAGCCTTTATTCCAGCTTCTTGTGGGAGTATTTCTGGCATTTCAGCTAACAGCTCCCGTGTCCCCTGGGGCTGCATGAAGGGCTCGTCGGATAAGAGCACCTGCCACTCTTGCACCTGAGTTTGGTTTCCGGCACCCACGTCAGGCAGCTCTAACCGCCTGTAACTCCTGCTCCAGAGGACCTGACACCCTCTTCTGGTCTCTGTGGAAACCTTCGCTTTTAAAACTTAAAACTATTTTTTATCCTCTGACAATTACTTATACACACACACACACACACACACACACACACACACACACACACACACACACACACACACACACACACACACACACACACACTTCAAATTAAATCATTTTTAAAACTTTGAAAAAATCATGTCTGCTATAAGTATCATATTAACAAATTTTCCTTTTCTTCCCCACCTAGTCTACAAAGGAGGCTCTCTCTCTCTCTCTCTCTCTCTCTCTCTCTCTCTCTCTCTCTCTCTCTCTCTCTCTGCAGAAGTACACATTTTTTTTTTTTAAATTAAATGAGCTACTGACATTTCCTGGAATGGTTGCACAGTTCTTTTTTCATTTGTAAATCAATTTGCCTTTCTGCGATAAGATTCATCTTGGTGTGGAATGAGTTCACAATGTCCCATTCTGGAGGGGTATGTGTTGGAGAAGTCAAGACCAGTGATCAAGACACGTGTGGTGTGTGTGTGTGTGTGTGTGTGTGTGTGTGTGTGTGTGTGTGTGTATCAGGGGATAAAAAAATAGTTTTAAAAGAGTTCTCCCATCTTTTTTCTTGCCTTGAGATGGAGATGAAGGTGGTCTTTCTATGGAATTTTCAGTATTTGTACCTCTTCCTTAGTTCAGGGTTAGTTAGCTACCATTTTCCCAGGAAAGTGTGCACTATTGAAATTCCCATGAGGTTCTTCTCTTCCCTCCCACTCCCCCACTCCGTTCCTCCCTCTCTCCCTCTGGTCCCACTTCTAAGACTGAGTGTGTGTGATGCCAGGTAGTACAGTCCTGCATCTCATCTACTTGAGAGATTGACGCAAGGTGTCTTTGCCTGTCACTCAAGGCCAGTCTGAACAACAGAGTGAAACCCAAATGGGGAGGGGGTGAAGAGGGAGAGAGAGAGAGAGAGAGAGAGAGAGAGAGAGAGAGAGAGAGAGAGAGAGAATGTGTATGCATATGTGTGTGTGTGTGTGTGTGTGTGTGTGTGTGTGTGTGTGTGTGTGTCTTTCTATGCTTTATTACAAAGGAGTTAGAGAATGTGCACATGTGATCTCCGGGGGTGGCTCTGAATCACCTGTTTTATGGGTGTCTCGTTTAAATGTAAAACAAGGTGAATTTTTTCCATTTGGTTAATATGTGGTAAGGACGGCAAAGGCAGGGTCCCATTGTCTCTTCGTTATGTTAACATCATAAAGGTTGATCTCTCTCTCTCTCTTGTTCAGCAGCCGTTGAGTGGCTCCCCAGAGCTGCTCTTCTCTGTGTGATCTGTGTGGTTACTCAGGGACCTGGGAAACTTCCGCCTTAAGGGTCTCTCATCTGAATCCATCGGTCACCAAAACAGATAGTCATTTTGAGATGTAATTACCAGACTTTAAATGCTTTGACATTCCCTGGCTACACTTAGTCACATCCCCCTTCCTTACTGGAAGAGAGCTGTAAACTGTCTTCCCATAAGCCAAGAGGAAGATGAGAAGCAAATGTGGAAAATTCAGAATCATCTCCATAGGATGCCAAAGGCTTTCCTCATGTGCGGACAGCATAAGGACTCGCAGAGGAAGGACCCTGGAGCCCAACACAGCCTCCTCTTTAGCTGTGGGACGACAGGCAGCTTAGCTTTCCAGGCCTTGCTTCTCTCCCGGTCAAATGCCTCCTAACATTGTGTGTTAACTTTTCTCTTGTGATCAGCATAACGCTACAAAGAAAACCGCAGCCTTTAATGATGTGAATTAGCGTGCCCATATCAAGGGCTGCACAGTTTAACTCCACAGTGACAAGCACTAGAGGGAAAGAACTTCAAGGTGCAAGTGTTTCCCTTGGCCTGTGGCTTCAGAGGTGTCAAGCCCAACACTGGCCGGCGTTGTTTCTGGAGCACGGTGAGCTAGACTATCACAACGGGAGGGTGTAAGAGAGCCAAGGTGCCCACCTTACGGTGGACTGAACGGCGAAGAGGAATCAAGGCCAACACATACCCATCACAGTCAGACCCTAGTGACCCACTATCTCCAAGTAGGCCTGCCCCACACTGCACAATTCTATTATCTCCCCAAAGTAAACTTTTAATCCACTGATGCAGTAAACCACTGACTAGGCCAGAGCCCCGTGATCTAATTGCCTCTGGGCACATTTTCAGCCACACTCTGAGCTCTTCCTAATCTCCTGGGCATTTTTCAATCCAATCCAGTCGACCAATATTAATGATTAATTAGTTTTTAAATTAATTAGGAAGAAGAAAAGGTCCAGGGAACGGGGAGGAGGCTCAAGAGAGGGTAATGGGAGGAGGGCATAAAAATGAACAAAGTACATTATATACTCGCATGAACACATCATAATAAGACCCATCGTTTTGTACAATAGGTTTTAAGTTATCATCAAGACATCATACGGCTTTGCTATTATGTATCTTTTTGCTTTATTGTGAGTTAGAGATCAAACGCAGGGCCTCCCACTTGCCAGGGAAGTTCCAACTAATGAGGTAAATCCCCAGCTAAGATATTTTTTCTGGTTTGGATATTTTCTTTGTTTGTTTTAGTTTCTTACATGTATACATTCTTTCTTAATCATATCCACCATCCACTCCCCCGAATTCCCTCCCGCATTCGCTCCACTCCCCAACACATCCTCCAACTTGATGTGTTCCTCTTCTGACTCTGCCTCCCGAGTGCTGGGATTAAAGGCGTGCGCCACCACTGCCCAGCCCTCTTCTTTTTTTAAAATACCACACTGAGTCCTCTTAGTGCTGCCCATAAGATGTGGGTGCAGGACCGTCCACTGGAGCACAGGCAACCCAGCAGGGGCTGCACCCTTAAAGAAGGCTGACTTTCCCTCCCTTAGAGCTACCAGCTGGCAAAAGCTCCTCATCTGGGGTGGGGTCCAGGAGCCCCTCCCCCATATGGGTTGGAATTTTTAACTGAAAAGACAGTAAAATTCCTGCTGAATTTTGAGGGTTGAATCATTAAATAACAAAATGTGAGTAGAGATAGCACAGCGTGCTCCTTTGCCACGCAGCACTCAGACCCAGAAGAATCACTGTAGTGAGGTCGTTCTCAGACTGATTTATTCAGAATTTTTTAAAGGAAATGTAATGTGAATGGGTGTTTGCCTACATTTCTGTCTGTGTACCATGTGCATGCCTGGTGCCTGTGGAGGCCAAAAGGTTCCCTGGGACTGGAGTTAAAGATGACTGTGAGCCACTATGTAGGTGCTGGGAACCGAACCTGGGTCCTCTGCAAGAGCAGCCAGTGTGGTGCTCTTAATCTGAGCCACCCCTGCAGCTCCTGATGAGAATTTAATACCACATTACACAGAGACCGAGAGTCCAATATCTATGTTGTCTTGAGCCTAGAGATTTGGGTTAAAGAAAATTATTTTTAATAATGCAATGTGATTTTTGTTGACAACTGAAGAAAAAAAATCATTCGGATAAAAATATGTTTTGAAAACAAAACAAACAAAAGATCTAAAGTAAAACCGTGTACTCTTCATTTACAGAGTGTGCTCATGTGCACACACAGCCTATTGAGTAAATGGGGTTGGCAATCTCTAAAATGTATTTAGTGTTTTTCATTTAACATAGTGACTTTGTATTGTTTACATTGATTCTTAAACTAATAGACTTAGAATGACTGAGTGACCTTCCAAGGCTCTGACAGGACAGAAACTGGAAGGGGCTGCTGTCCCTTAGCTCTGTGGCATTTACCCTTTGCATTACCTCTTCTAAGACAAACAGGAATTTGAGTTCCAAGTGCTTAGCTTACATTTCTTCATTTAACTGGAGGAGACCCCCAAACAAGCCATGCCACCCCCCAGAAACCACAGCTGCGTGCTGTGCTCTCTTGGCTTCTGGGTCTGACATAATAATGGCTTCCTCACTTCTCTCGATGCTACGAACTCCCTCAGGGAAGGAACTGTGTGCTTTATTGAGATAGCCTGGGTTCCAGCACAGTTTTGTGAGAGATTGCTCTCAAACCAACAATAATCCCATACACGTTTGTTCAGATGGAATACAAAAAAGTGCCCTGTGCTGGAGAGAAATGAGAGGCATAATGAGGCAAGACATTCTTTGTTCTTCACCAGGGAGGTGTGTCTGAGCACAAAACACACTTCTTCAGAGAGCACCACAAGATGCTAGAAGTTGAACTCAAGTGGAAGTTAAGTGAAGGAGGAGAAGTGGTTGGTGGGATAGGCCAGGCTGAGACAAATGGTCTAGAGTCCTCAAGATCAAAATCTATGAAGTCGCCACCCTGGAAGGACCATATCCTCACATGATGCTCTGGGCAAGTGCTCGTGTCCGATAACACCCAGGGGGGTTGTGGGAAGATCTAGGCACAAATCTATTTATGCACCAGAGTCCAGATCCAAATCTACTCCCCACTGCCACACACACAAGGGAGTACAGTAACCTTCACATGATGTCGTCGTTGCTCTCATGGCAGATAACGCCTCATGGCTTACTGGAAGAGCTGGGGACAAACTTGCTTAAATGTAATGCTAGGCACAATTCATTTTAAATCCACTTCATTTCTCAGTTGTTAAAAAAATCATAACTGAAAAACAGTTTTCCATTAGAGTATCTCTGCTCCATCACAATCACACACCCACAAAATGATGGTCATTCCAAACTCACTGAGAAGTTAGTCTAATCAATGAGTCATGACAAAGTCTTCCATTTGCTGTGTACTGTGGATTGCCTAAAAACACATTGATGGGGAGGCTTCCAAGGCTTCCCCCTAGCCCAGGAAACATTTTCTCTCAGTGTGCTGCAGATTTTTCAAACTTCAGACTAAAGAATACAATAGATGACTTCGTTTTTAGTTTTGTGGGGTGTGTAGGCTTTGCTAACTTTGTGTTTTGAATCTTACAGACCCCTCCTAATATTACTGAGATAGGAAGTACTCCAGGGGCCAGAGAGAAGGCTCAACAGTTGAGAGCACTGGCCGCTCTTCTAAAGGGCCTGAGTTCAATTCCCAGCACCCGCATGGCAGCTCACAACATCTGTAATTCCAGTTCCAGGGAGCCAACATCCACTTCTGATCTCTTCTGGTACCAGGCTTATAGTGC